CCCCAAGGTATTTGCTCACTGGCAGTCCAACAGTATTCTCCAGTTCCTGCACATTTCTTTCTTCAAACCCCAATTCTGAGTAATTTAGGCTTTTATAACTCGTTAGACACATATTGTAGAAACGCTTCACTTTTCCCTCCAGGCTAACCTCATCAAAATCAGTATCCTTTAATTCGTCAAATAGTTTTTGCATTTTTGCGATTGGTGACTTCTGGGGGATATACTTCGCTGAATAGTTTCGAAAGTTCGTACAGGGATCGACACTTTCATCTATATAACCTAGCATTTCGTCAATCATTATTTTATTTGGATCGGTCTTTGTTTTGTCTTTATCTTTTTCGGCCGCTGTTACTGCACTGAAAAGCAGGAGGCTGCTGATCCAAAAAAGAGGTCTAGTTCTCGCCATCGCAAATATAAAACTGAAAAACTAAATAAGCTGCCGGAAAGTCAAGTCGTGTTTTGTAGAGTTTTTGGAAAGTCCCTGAATTTTCAGAGATTAAGCTCAGCTTATCAACTGATACATACACACCCAGAACTACATTTGACAACAATACAATTCAGTGGCGATTTAAACTTTTATTTATAAATAAGTAGAAAAGGCATGTGTGTTACCACACATCACACTTGACATTGGGATTCAAGGGAGTACGGGGGCAGTTGAAGGCTTGGCCGAAGCCAGCTAGGTTGGCAAGCGATTGATGGAGACGAGCCTTATCAGTCTCCTCACCATTGAAGTCAATGTACTCCTCGTCTCCAATTAGATTCTGGGCATAGTTCAGGAAGAATAGTTCTCGCAGTTTCATCGTGGTGAAGCTTGGTTGCAACTGGCTGTACCTGGAGCCCACGCCGAAGTAGGCCTCGTAGGCTAGTTTAAGGGCCGACACATCAACTACTCGCTGATCCATATATTCCGTGTAATTTCTTTTTAGACAGTTTATGGAATCAACATATTTTTCATTCTCAATGAGGTTTAAGAATTTTTCACTGGGGTTTCCCTGGGCATCATAGAGTAGTGCCTCGGGAAGCATGCCCTCCATCAACTTCTGGGCGAGAATGAAACCCAGGAAGCTAACCTTGAAGACATCGTGTCCTTGGGGTACATAATACGGGCTTTGCAGCATATCGCTGGGCAGGATAATTATGTTCTCTTTCGTTATGTAATAAGGCTCTGGGGTGGTGGTGGTTAGAGTATCCTCTAGGAAGTAGTAAGCATTTCCCTTGGCTGCCGGCTGATTCAGTAGCTCCAAGACACGACGAGATCGTACTTCCAAGGTCTTCAGCTGGGCAGCTGCGTAATCCTGATCCCTTGCCAATTGCAAATCTCTGTAGAAGTTGGTCACGAAGGCTCGGTGATTCTGATCCTTGGGTTTGTTGCCCAAGTTAATGTTCATACCCTGGATTTTCTGCTTGACTTGAGTGCGTTGTCGTGGTGTTAAATTGAGTCGGTTTGCATCGATCTTGGCCAGGAGTGGAGCACGCACGGAATTGAAAATATCCTGGACTTCTGTGTCAAATTGACTAAAGTACTTGCTGTCGTACAGGTAATTGCTGCCAAAATCCATGTGTATACGTACATCCTTAATGCATTCGGCGGCATCGTTTTGCTCATCACTGGCACTGGTGCCCTTCATGAAACGGGCAAAGCGGGCCATCATATAGGTTGCAATGACCTCGGGGTCATAGGAATTCAAAAGATTCTTCAGTGCCACAAAGTAATCAACATTCTGGATTTGCACCTCAAAGCTTTCTGGGAAGGTACGATCGAAAACGATCCGCAGATATTGTCGCCACGGGAATCCATTCTGCCTCTCTAACTCACTCAGTGTCAGGTCATCATTGGGTTCGTCCTCGACATTGGCCAACGCCCTTATCTCATTCTCCAAACGTTTAATACTCCTAGCCAGCGACATGGCCTTTGTGCGGGACACACCCAGTCTTATCAACAGCTTCTTGGTATTGGCAATGTTCCTCAATTTGTCGATTGGGGTATCAAATGTTGGTCTGTCTATCGTCACCATATACCTGCTGCTATCTACAAAGTCCAGTTTCACGTTCATCTTGACCATCAGGTTATCAAAGCCAAAGCGACGCAATCGTGCCAAGGTCAACATCCATTGGAACTGAGACTTGGGCCATCTGATATTACGTTTGGTGAACTGCGGCCAGGTAAATGCCACATCCGGCTCAACTAGCTCCAGGTAGTGCCTCTCCGAACGGGATTCATTGGTGGCCGTACGGCAGGTCTGATAGAAGCGCAACACCTTAGCCTCCACACTGTCCTGGTCGAGCAGGATCTGAGCGCTGAGAGTCTCGAAGATCGAAGCGAATCGATCAGTCACTTTCTTTTGAATCTCGCCCAATACCTCACTGTAGTCGTCCTCCTCATGCTTGTCCTCGTAGTTTCCGCCTGCATATTTCTGGAAGTCCTGACAGGGATCTGCCTTGTTATCCATATAGCCCAGCAGGCGATTGACGAGCTCTTCGTTGGGATCGGCCGTGTATAATGGCGTAGGTGCCACCCATCCGGCCTCCACGGCTGCCCAACTTAAAATCCAAACCAGACAGGTAATCCAAGCAATTGTTTTTGATTGCGCCATCCTCAGCGAATAACTAATAGATCCTCCTGCAGGTGCTGCGTCTTTTAAAGGCATTCCGAGCAACTGATAGTCGAGGTCACTACCAGGTGGTGGCCGCGATTAATGCAAAATTTCGCACATTTGCTGATAGCCAAGGAGATGGTAATTAGGTGACCTGATAAGACGATTCACGTGTGTTCAAAGCCAAGGCCAAGGTTTTCTGGTTTTCCAAGGTTTCTCTAATCTCTTAGTTATTTTTAAATATATCAAACTTGCTCTAAAAGAATTCAAAGCTATACATCAATAGATAATGTATTCGCATACAGATGTATATTTTAGCCACAGCTGACAAGCCCTTAATAGTACAATTACAAGGCTTCGATTACAATAGCCACCCTCCGCTGATTCTTGGCCAAGTGTTTGCCCTGCATCAGTGGCAGTAACAGCTTAAATTTATTGATTGCTTCATAAACAGCGATTATTTAACCACCGCATTTCGATCCGTACTGGAATGACCCAGCAACCCCCAAACCCCTACACAGCCCATTCCAAAAGTCTGGCGAACACTTGTGGCCATCTTCAGCATGTTCAACCAGTTAGAACCCCAAGCGATGGGGGGATTCTCAATGGGATCAATATGTGGCAATGTGCGGAGGCTAGTGGGCTGTGTGGGTGGTGATTGTGTAGCACATGACAAGTCACAAGTGCGGCCAGTAAATTTGCATGCGACAGCAAATACTCAATGGTCGGACACAAAAAGCGGGGGTTCGGTTAAGTGAAGGGAAATGGTGTTGAGTAACTCAGTTAGCACGGGTTTCATAGGTAATGGAGGGGTGTGTATGCTAGAGGGAAAGGTCTCTTTGAGGGTCAGAATTGAAAAAGGAAAACCGGAGAATCGAATCGAACGTTTGGGCAATGAGTGCAGCGACTTTTGTCTCCCTGCTCGGAATATTGCACTTTGTGCATTTTTGTCACCACTTTTTGAAGGTAGTTTTTAAGAAATCTTAATTAATATTGGACGAATAAATATTTCAAATTTATTATTAGTTAAGATATCATTTCCACATGTTTTATTAAACAAAAATATATTTAATACTTGCTTATAAAAACTTAAATGTGCGATAATCTGTTTTTCCATTAAATCTCAAGTCTTAAATTGAGGCCATAGAGTTTCTATATAATCGAATTGCAAATTTTTCTCTGTTATACTCAACACTGTAAGCCATTTATAGGACAAGATCTGAAAAGAGGGCGTTTGTCGAGGCGTGGCATCGCCTAATGAACACGATTCAACGCGATTCCGACGAGAAGACCGCGAAGGGAAAACTTTACACTAACGTGACGGCGAATTTATTGAGTTGAAGCCGCCGAAGCCAGTGGCTTGGGAAATTGGGAAAACGGCAAAGAAAAGGGAAGGATGAGGGCCAGAGGAGCATCCCCATTTCTGTTTTTCCGGCAAGTCACCGCGAACCGGTGGTGTGTTTCTACTTTTTCTTCTTCTATATATGTATATATGTATATATTTGTATATATGTATCCCCAAAAAAACTTTCGTCGCATTGCCGGAACAAAGAGGCCAAAAAGGGAAAAAAATGGGATTTCATTTGCCGGCAAACTTCCTAAAGCGAATTACCATTTACGGTTGAGCTTTGTGCTCCATTTGTTGATTGTTCTAGTTGTTGTTGCTGTTGCCATGTCGACCTAAAAGTAGGCAATATTACACAGCATCGTAAATCCCAAATGGTAGTGCTAGGAAAAAAACAGAAATTTTAATCATAAAAATTGCATCCCCTAACGGCAATCTCTAATGATAGAAGCAATTTTTATCGCATTTTCTCACATGTCAACGAAATAATTATAATTCTGTCTTACGAGCAAAAACCGGAGTAAATCAAATGTTAAAGCGCAGGCAACTCATCCCTTAAATGGGAACATCTAATGATGAGCCCCTTCGCCAGATTGAACTATTTGGCCAAACAACACATGATAAACAACACAACACCGAAAGAAACAACAACAACAACAAATCATTGCATGTGGGTGGAAATTGGGGGTGTTGGGGTCCGTTAAGGGTTGCTGCGATATTCGTTAGCCTGGCAACACTTCACTATACACTTTTCTTTTAATACCCGCTACTCGTGGGAGTTCAAGGGTATGCTGTATTCGTTGAAATAGTTTGATAAGGTTTGAATGGAAGATTCTTGTACTCTGATTTGTCGGATTATTTTCTAATCGGTTTTCTCATATTCGTTTTTAACATTAATATTTAGTAATTATTCATAATTGTAGCGGAATAAAAAACAGTTATTCTAACGGGTGTACAGTATGACCAAAGCTTTTCGTCTTAAGTTTGTTTTTGGTTGGACCAAAACAAAAATCTAGTCAGCGGGAGAAGATGGAAAGGGCAAAAGGAAGGGGAGAGAGGAAAGAGTGGAGAGAGAGGGGGGAGACACCAAACATAAGGGCTCTCCAAAGAAATTTCATTTTCACTTTTGCAGGTGAGCGAAGCTCATCCTAACACAAAGAGAGAGAGAGAGCACGAAACTAGAAATGAGAGAGTATAATGAGCGAGAGAGCGGGTAGACATGCGCTCAACTTCCTTGGGGTTGCCACCTCTCATCTCGCAGGGTTGCTGCATGCCGTTTCGCTGCGGCAGCATCCAGTTGGAAAATGTACGCGCACTCAAACGCAACAAAAAGCGCGTAACAGAAGCGGCGAGGTTTCGATAAAGAAAGGACACTAACAATTCGGTGTTGACAAAAACGACATACACACACATACACACAAGCGAATGCGTCGCGTGCTGTCCCCTTAACTCCCCACCTCCCCATCCCGCTGTGCGTGTCTGTAAAAGAAAGTTGAAATTGCCAAAAAAAAAAAAAAAGAAAAGTGTAGTGAAGCAAATCAATTGGTGGTTATAAAAAGGAGAAAAACCAGCCAATTAAAGTGCTTTAAATCCAGAAAGAAAGTCATAAGTAATTAGTGTTTATAATTATTTTTATTGATCTGCCCAAATTGACCTTTTTACCAGAACCCCTACTAAAAAAAATAGCAACAAGCTCTTGAGCTATTTCTTCTTTTTTTTTATAATTAGCAAAGTGAAATGGAATAATGAACCGTTATGCTCTGTCGCCAAAGAAAATGCAACTGCAGCTGAGAACCGCAATTCAGTCAAGTGGCAACAATGGCGAAAAAAATAGGAAAAAAGGGAGCAGCTGAAGGCAAAAAAGTGCGAAATAAAAAAAAAAAAGGGAGAGGGGAGAAAGGTAAAAGGTGGGCAGGAGGAAAAAAGAGATGGAGGGAAGGGAGAGAGCGGGGCCAACTGGAAAGCGCACTATTGACATATATACGCGCAGATTGGAGCGAAAGAGAAGAAGAAAACGCCGCATAAGACAAAACAGGAAATTCACTTATACACGCGCACAAGGAAAAGGAAATTCGCGCTGTTGAGCTTTGCATTTTGACATTTCATTTCAAAACACAGATTCCAGTGAGAACACTTGCCCTCTCTCTCTCTCTCTCTTTTGCAAACAGCGCTCTCTCACTCCCATTTCGCTCTCCCACACTTTCTCTCTCTCCTTCACGACTCCTTCACGTTTTTTATTTTGTATTTTTCCTTTATTTTTTTTCGCTGAGCAAATGAGAATGTAAACAAATGCCAAATGGCGGCCGCGTTAAACAAAAATGAAATGGAATTGTCATATATGTATGCATTAACACGTTTTTAGCATGGTGTTTGGAAAGAAGAGAGGAAGAGGAGAGAGGTTAGGTGCAGTCACGAAGTCAAACAAAGGGAAAGCACAACAATCGCATTCGTTCCACTTGGAAATTAGGATTAGGCCTCATTCTGACATTGACATTAAACAAAGAGGAAAGCCAAAAACAAACAGAATGCGAAACCTCATTAAAGACTGATTTGGGCAACAACAACAACTAGTACTACTACAACTGACTAACGGGAATTGAATAGTTAGCAAATGTTGTTGACACCCGTAAATAGTACTTTTTATGGCCTTAGTTTTTTTTGCTTGTCATATTTGGCATGCGAATAACGTGTATAAAAACGGTTTTCGTTTGTATACATCACTTTTTATGGCAGATTTTATTACTAAAAATCCACTGAGAGTAATATAAGTTTTGTCCTTTATTTAATTGCTTTCGCATACCTACATACGTATACGTGATTTTTAGTACTTTGAATGTGAAATTTATAGCCTGCTTTACGGCTGTACAGAAAATATATATAAGCAACTTTTTTAAAAGAGACTTAGAGATATGAAACAAACTACTATTTACAAATGTATTATAGTTAAAACTTAAAAGAATTGAGAACAAGGGAACATTTTTTTGTCCCGCCCCTCGACCTTCTACTGTTATCAAGAGCAGCTGATATTGTGGTTCGAATCATTTAATCCAATAAGATAACAAGCCTGAATCATAGCCACCTTTAAGGTGTGTGCTTTATCTGCAATTTACCAATCGACAGGGCCCAAATCAAAGTTGAAAATTAACGTTGCTACGCCTAACAAACCATAACCACAAATTATGCCTGAATGATGCTACAGGCGGTGGCCAACTTCAGATTCAAGAGGTCCTCAAAGGCAGACACAAATGCGGACATTAGACATTACATACAAATGCCATACAAAAAAAAAATGCCGGCTACACAGTGAAAGAGATAGAGAGAGTAAATGAGAAAGAGATGAAAGCATATTTTTTGGGGGGTTGATTTTTGGGCGTTGAAAGCGCTTTTCACTAATTCAATGCGACATTGAAAACAGTGAGCTTGAATGCGAAAAGTGCAGACTCTCAGAAGGGATCCATAGAATGTTACTGAAGGGGTGGTTGGGGGTATTGGGCAGAAGTAGTCTGACTAGACGGAACCGGAAGGGCGTCAGCGTCTGGCTTTTGGCCAAATTTGTGGGGGTGGCAACAGAACCGGCTAAGGCAGAGCCAAACGAAAGTGCTATCTGCATAAATTATGTATGTATATTTCTGGTCGCCCGATTATCAACTCCTCAAAGGCGTCACATTTTTTGGCAGTTTATTTGGTAGTCTAGAGGGTGCAAATTGAAAAGTCCATGGCTAAGGAACGGAATTTTGTAGTAAAATATTCAACATTCCTTAAAAGTTATTATCAAATTTCAAGATAATATAATATTCAAGATGAGTAAACGGAAGTAAAGAGTAAATCCATGTTTAAGTAAGCGTATAAAAGCAATCAGATAATATTTATGTTTATTTTTCGGCCAACCGATTATCGACTCATGAAAGCTACTTCAATATTTGGCAATCAATTTTTCGGGTAAAGGGGTTGCAAACGGTAAAAATCCATAAGCACAGAAACCATTTTCAGGGCATTGGTTGTGAATAAACTATGAAGAAGAGCACGTGACCAAGGAAAAAAGATGGGGGTTCTGGCAAAAGGGTTCGACCTGGTATTGGCTATAAAGTGATTGTGATTTCCGTTCTAGAGCAAATAAGCCGGCAATTATTTGTGGCTTGTGCCGAGATTATCGAGTGTGTGTGTTTAAACGGCTTCACTGCGGTTTCGGTATCAACTTCGAGACCCATTTCGTTTACGGCCACGGGTTAGCAAGCGTACGTATTGGCCGGAAGACACAGAGACACCGGCCCCGTTAAGATTTCGGTCGTCGGCGGTGGTCAGAGAGGCTCGAAGATTTGGCGTCGCGAGCGCATCGAGATGACAAATGATCCGGACCTCGATGACTGTGCTTTTCTATCCGGTAAGTCTTGGGAGTTTAAGGATAGCTATGAAATGTACTTAAGAGAAATGTCTCTTAAATATTTAACAAATATTAAAATATTTATAAACAACCTTCTATTTAATCTAAAAATCTTCCACTTCGTTGCGTTTTCAAACAAAAACCAAGCACTTCAGTCTGCTGCCTGCGTTTTCTCAGTGAGCTGACCCCCTTTTTGTGTTATTTTTACTCGAGTTGCACTCAACTCCAGTGGCAATTGCAATGCAACCCATCCGTATGAAATATTTGCACAGCCCCACTATGACTTTTATACGGAGTTTAATTACATTTTGGCCATTTTGCACGTTTCTTTTTGACAGGTGGCGAATCGAGCGGCGGACGGCAGACTCGGACCGGAGTGGCCGTCTGCTCACAGCGCCGGGCTCTACTTGTGGCCGGAATCGTGCTCGGCTCGCTGCTGCTGACGGCCATCATCATCGCCTACGCTGGACCGCAGAACGGTAAGTTTGCCCCGTGCCCCATGACCCATGCCACATGACTGGTGCTCCATAGCATCATCCTCACTCCGTTATTTTCTTTTCCTTTCTTTCTACGAGTTTGGTTTTTTCTTTCATTTTTGAGCATATATTCACCTCGTTCGTTTTTCATTTCCACCCACGAAACAGTACAGGGAGCAGTTTGGGGTCACCCCTTTTGTTGTTGTTGTTACTTGATTACGCCTTTATAGGGGGCGACAGGATATGTAGTCAATTGGGCGACGGGGGGAAATGACGGCTTTGTGGCATCGAAAGGGTCCCCGAAATTTGACAGCTTTAAAAATGGGAAAATTGTAAAAGAGGGATTCAGTTTTGACATGAATGGAACAATGGAGTAATATAATTTAGTTTCCTGAAAAGGAATTTCGTAGGATGCGGGAAAGGTTTCAACTTGCTTTATTTTCGATATTTGGGATTTACACTTCAAGAGATTCTTTTTAATTAATTAAAATATTAAAGAAAAGGTTAGAACCTGAGTAAACTTTAATAGGAACCCATTTATTACGAGCAAAAACCTTAAGGCACACACCTAGTATAATATTGCGAAAGCTTAGGAGTCATAAATCAACATGTGTAAGGGAATCATGAATAATGTGGCCCATTCTCTGCAGACGCCGCCAAGTATCTATGACTAAGGCGGCCTCAAGTTGGGGCCCAATAAATCCGTATAAATGGTAATTGAATTCCTTGACCGGCGGCGTTCAAAGCAGGTCATAAACCATCTGGCCAAGCAATCCATTTAGGCCCCCGAGTAATATGCTTTTAACCATATTAAGTTGGGGTTGCATCAGTTTCATGCCGCGTATAAATAGATGCAACTGCATTACCTGATCCCCTTCCCCCCTGCTTTTCTGTGCTGCCCCCAATCGACCTGCGGCACCCTGTGTCCCTGGCCATATTCAATTGCAGAATTATTCAAAGTGCAAACACTCACATGCTCGCTGGAAGTTTCTGTTGCATACTTAATGGGGCTAAATGCATTGGGGTATAATTGCATTAACCCTAGGGAAAGGGAAAACAGACCACACGAAAGCGTGTTTGTGGATTGGAAAGAGAAGAGAAGGGGTACAGGAAATGTACACAGACACATGTCTGGTGGAAAGTTAATTTTCCCTGCTGCGAGCTTGATTATCAATCAGCCTTTGCCGCCGTGTATGTAGCTTTAACTTCTGCTTCCGCCGATCCAATTATAGAATTCGAACCAAGCTTTATACACACATTTTTCTTAAACCCATCCTATACAGTATCTATCTAAATATCTATATATATATATGTTCATGAAGAATCTGTTTCATTTTCTGACCATCGTTTGTTTGTTTCCCATTATCGTTTCCTTCTTGCCTTCGACTTTGTATACCAAATGTTTATTATATATATATTGAATCTTTGAAAAATATGAAATATTTCTCTTAAATGCTTGTTTGATTGATTGGTTGAAATGTGAGTAACAATTATGCCAAAACCCGAATACTTCTAAACTGGTAAATAGCCATGACAATCTATATAATCCTTCGGCATGTTGATGTCATTGATCATCTGTTGTTTCCTATATTATCCCCTTCTTCAGTTTTGTTTTATATTTTGTACTTACTATCTCTAGATGTTAGATCTTTTATTGTTTATATTTCGCTAGTGGGAAGGAGAGGAGATTGTTTTGATTTTAATCTTCATTGTAAATACTAAAGATCACAGATCATGAGATGAGTCATTGTCACAGACAGGAGATATTTGTCATATAGATGGTTGATTTACACACTACTAACTAGAAATTCTCTCAAGAAAGTGCACTGTTACTATAATATATTGAAGGACATTCACAGTTAAGATACAAACTATATAAATACAAGAAGACTTCTTATTCTTTAACTTCTTCTCTTTGTTATGAATTTATATTTTATTTATTAAACTTTTAAACGATGTTTATTGTTGTAGATTCTTATGTTGACTTCCGGATGGCTTATGGATTATAATCGTTAGATCTTCAGTCACTTCCACTGCTATTGATATGACTCCATCGCGACATTCAGCTAGAAAGAATCCGCATTTGTGACTTTCCCCTTATTTTGAGTTTCTTTCATTCCCCTTTTAGATGTGCTAATGACTTGAACAGAATCCAATTATTAAACTGATTTAACTGCTAGCTTTTATTTATTCTCAACCCCCAACCACGTCTTAGATGATATTCCCTCCCTATAACATTCTCTCTGTTGATTGTGTATAATGCAATTTGCTTTAACGAACTTAGCTACGAATCCCCGAAAGAGTCGTCCGCGAAGATGAGGAGTTATGAAAGTCTTCTCAATTTCTATCCTTACTGATTACGCTCATTGAATATCCTTGCAGACTGCTCCTGTGGATCAAAAACGGTGTCCGGTTATGAAACGGATGAAGAGAACAACACGCAGCCCTTCAATCCGATAGCCACCAATGGAGAGCCATTTCCCTGGCTAGAGAAGATGCTGCCCACCAGTGCGCGTCCACTGCGCTATATGGTCACTATCCATCCAAACTTGACGACATTGGATGTTAAAGGTGAGACAGGCCCTCGAAAAAATGTTATTCATTAATGGAAATATAATTCGATTGTCTGACTTTCAATTCATTCGCTTTTTCTCTTTTATATTTCCACGTGGCCAGGTCAAGTCACCATCGATTTGCATGTGGAGAAGGAGACCAACTTCATTGTGCTGCACATCCAGGACCTCAACGTCACCGAGAAGGTAAACCAGTTGCAGTCAGTTGCAAATGGCATGCAAATTAAGCCAATTAGCGTCTGGCTCGAGTACGTCCATTGATTGCATTTGTAATCGTCGTTCTCGATTTTCGGCAGGCCATCGTGACTCCGGGGCCCAAGGGCTATGCCCTTAAGATTGTTAAGGTGCTGGAGTTTCCGCCCAGGCAGCAGCTCTACATCGAGGTGAAGGAGAAGCTAAAAAAGAAGTCCAATTATACCCTCAACCTGCGCTGGTACTCCAAACTCAATCCGGAGCCGGAGGGTTTCTATGTCGACCAGTACGAGAGCTCTAATGGTGTGGAGAGGTAAGAAGTGGTCTTCTAATGTTTTTTTCTTTAACGTTATAATCAAAACTTGTAGTTTAAGATCCTTTAAATTAAATCCTTAAATTTGTATCTTTTTAGATTACTTGCTGCCACAGTTTTTCGACCGAATGGTGCACGGCGTGCCTTCCCCTGCTTCGACGAGCCGCACGTTCGGGCGCCATTCCGCATCTCTGTGTTCCGGGATCGCTTCCACATTGGTCTGTCCAATTCCATAGTGCACACCACCGAAGATGTGGGCTTCTACATGGGCACGGGATTGGTAAGAATGATTGAAAATAAAAAAAAAAACTTAAAGATATAACAAATTATTTCTAATTCAGCTCCGCGATGACTTCATTGAGACGCCACCACTGCCAGCCGATGCGGTGGCCTGGGTTGTAAGCGACTTCCAACGCGAATCCCTGCAGCCCTCAGCGGCATATATCCCCACGACACCAGCGCCACCGGGTTCCGGAGTGGGTGGCAAGAAGTCCGCCCAGCTGAATAATTATACCCAGCTTAAGGGCAAAAACCCGCCGGTACGAAACATCACTGCCCTGACTCATTCGTTGAATGTGAACCTGACGCCACGACAAAACCTAACGGTTGTTCAGCCCACGACGACGACGGCCTGGCCTGTGAATCTCAATGGAAATGGAAAGCCATCGAATCTAACATCACTTTCTCAGTCCACGGGATCATCGATAAAGAGGGCTCCCTCGTATACCTTCTATGCACCCAGGGATCTGTTAGTTCGCTCATCTTTCATTCTGCACACATCGAGGGATGTTCTGGAGTATCTACAGACCTGGTTGGATATCAGTTATCCCCTTACCAAAGTGGACTTTGTGGCGTTGCCTTCGCTGGATCGTAATATGATCTCCTCGCTGGGATTGGTTACCTTGAAAACGTCTTTCCTGACGGATCCAAGTTCCATAACCTCAGAACAATATCAGTTTAGTGCATTAAGGATTGCTGAGGCCATGGTGAGACAGTTCTTTGGAGGAATAACATCCCGCAAGGTGCTCAAGGATGTATGGCTGTGGGAGGGATTGATTCAGTATTTGGGAATCCATGCCTTGGCACCACTGCAGGAAAGCTGGCCGCTGAGAGAGATGTATCTACTGAAGATGGCCACAGCAGCGTTGGACATTGATGCCATCCAAGGATGGGATAGCATTATGAATGGCACAAGCCATGATGGCAACAATGAGGAGTTCTTTGTCCAGAAGACAGCTGCCATATTTTCCATGTTGCACACGGCCATTGGTGAGGATCGGTTCAGGGGCTGTCTGGGTTCTTTCCTCAAGGTGAATCGATTCAGAACCGCCGAACCCACTGATCTTTGGACCATTTGCACTAAGAAAGCTAATGGCTCGAAGAACATCAAGGATATGATGACTTTGTGGACACACCAGCCGGGTTTTCCTCTTCTCACTGTCACCAAAATGGGCAATAGCATCTCCATCTCGCAGAGACCTTTCCGACCTGCTGAGTTTCTAGCCATCCATGATGACTCCTATGATGGTAATAACTACAATAAGACGGCGTTGAATGCCACAGATACGCCAAGCACTGTGCCACCTACAACGCAAGGTAGCAAGCATAAGTCGGTGCCACATATGAAGTGGATCTTCCCTGTGACCTATGTGACGGATATCAACAATGTCAGTGAAACTCTTTGGATGCAGAATGTGGATGGTACGCTAAACAATATATTATTTGTAACTTTTCATTAGACTTTCCATCTTTATTTTAGTTACCTTCAACGTTCCGGAAAATGTCAAATGGATCAAAGTGAATGCAATACAAAATGGTTACTACCGAGTGGTCTACAATGATGATAACTGGGCCAATCTCATCGATGAGTTGGCTGCTAATCCCAAAAGATTTACCAGCGAGGTAAATTGTCAAGAAATCTGTAAATTAACTTAAATAATAATTAAATGCATTGCTCTTATCAGGATCGCTTGGGTCTTTTATCAGACGCCTTTACCCTCTGCCATGCCAATCTTCTGCCCTGTGAGATCACCATGAACATGATCCAATATCTGCCCAGTGAGACACACTATGGACCTATGGCTCTGGCTTTGAGGCATTTGGAAAAGTGGCGACGCATCCTTAAGTACTCAGAGTGTTTCCTGATGCTCAGCGAGTTTATCAAGATGAAGATCTCCACGGTGATGGAAAAGGTGGGCTGGTCGGATGATGGTGATGTGGCCACCAGGTATGTTGGACTTAAGTTAAAATTTTGAAGATCTTAATTTAATGGGTTTTTTTACCTTAAAGGTTACTGCGTCCCGAAGTGCTCTTGGCATCTGTATTGTGGGAGGACATTGACAGCATCAGCAGAGCAAAGAACATGCTAAATCAGTATCTTTACTACAATGGTTCCGCTATACAACCTAATCTTAGAGAGGTACCTTCTGCTGGTTTTCCTTTTAAAGAAAATCTATAATAATGTTTTCATGAAAACCTTACCAGGTGGTTTACACGGGTTCCATACTGTCCGGGGAGTACATCTACTGGCAGCATTGCTGGGAACGCTTCGTGAACTTGCAGCGCACGTCGGAGACCTTCGTAGAGCGAATGCAGTTACTCCGAGCTTTGGGAAGAACCAAAGATGCTTGGCTGCAGAATCGCCTTCTCTCACATGTGACAATGCTGCCCACTGAGGAGGTGGTGCAGGTTCTCAAGGCCATTGCTGGCACACCCACAGGTGGTGCCATGGCCTGCCGTTTCCTGCAGGCCAAGTGGTTTGAGCTGGAGAAGCGCCTTGGCCCTGGAACGATCAGTTTCGCCAAGGTCATATCGGCCATAACCCAATATGGGGCCACTAAGTTCGACTATGATGAGGTGAGTTATCTGACAGGAGAAGTTATTAGATTTCTTATTAACTTGATTTTCCTGCTCACAGCTGAAATCCCTGGTGCATCGCTTTGGTCGAGGTCAAGGGATGTCTGTGCTGAATATGACCTTGAGCAGCGTGGCCTCCAACGTGGAGTGGGTGGCCCGGTCACAGACCTCGCTCTACAAGTGGGTGGAGGGCAACCTGCACTCGCACCGATAGAGGAGATAGGAGGTCCTCTCACAAAGTTCTCTCTCTCTCTTCAGACTCATTTGTAATTATGTTCCTCTCTCAGACACGAATCTTAAGTGAGCTTTGATTTCGCCGAGTTAACTAACACTATGGATCTATATATATATAAAGATATATATATATATGTACTCTTTACCATATCATTGCCAGTTCGATCGATCTCCTTGGTTTTCTCAGTAGCTGTCCTATATATAATTTTAGTACTTAATGTTAGCCCAGACACTCGACCCAAAATGTAAATTGCGATTATAGAAGGCCCCCTCCCCCAATTTCTAGCACATAACGAATGTGTATATCTACAACTGAACATAAGGATCTATCTATATATGTATATTGTATATGTATGTATATTTTACAAACCAAACATATTTAGAGCAATGGATAATTGTAGTTTGTAAGCCAACAAAGAACAAAGAACAACATATTTTTTCATAAAAACTTAAAACTAAAAACTAAAATGAAACAAAAGAGAAGCCCCCTCAAAAAATCGCTAATGAATGCATTCTAGTAACTGTATAGCATATGTTTATTAGTATTAGTAAGAGCGCAGTGCTCTCGTGAGTGTGTGTGTGTGTCCGTGTATGTGCGCATCGAAATATCACAGAAATCTTCCTTATTTTGTCCAAGAAAAACAAGTTCATGTAACTTAACTACCAATGTATACCCCAGGCTGCCTGACCAGCAAACCAAATTTAGAATATCTTTAATTTTGTTCATTAAATAAGTTTATGATTTATAAACAATCATTTTAGAGTCAGTATTAGCTTCCAAATTAGAGATATATGCTTGTTAATTTCACATCACACAAAAATATCATATTTAATTTGATTTAGAACAAGTTTAAATTCGAAAAATGTTGTCATCAAACAGGTTTAGCATTTTTTTTAACCAGTAACTTTAATCGCCAAAGCAATTAGCTTAAAATCTGTTAACGATATTATATGGCTGCCATAGTACATAAACTATCTTAAGCCATTCATAATTAACCAAAAAAAAACATATTTAAAATCGCAGAATGTAAAGTAAAGTTATAACTTTCTTGGTAACTCTATTATGGTCTGAGGTCAGGCAGGCAGATAACTTAGGAAATCGAGATACGAAATAATATATAGACAAGCCCCATATGTACATACATGGCATACATGCTTTAGTAGTTTGGCTAGAAACCCAAAAAGAAAAAAAGAAAAAAGAAAACGTATTCAACACTTTTTATTTCCGCACTCGCATAAGAAGTAGAAACCAATGTTTATCAGATTACAACGTTCCGATTACTACGACTCTTGTGTCTAATTAAATAGGTTTTACTATGTGTTTTACCATATCGCTGGTTATCATTTGATTAGTGTTAGCCTGACCCAAAAGATAGCCCGAGGTGTTTGTGCAAACTGAGGGAATCCGTGAGACTTTTGCCACTTGAAACTCTTAGTCCGACGATGGCACGCCGGTTTTCTGTCTTTATAAGCTATATGGAAAACGTGTATAGGCTGTGCCATTGGCAACGCCCAGCGATAAGAGTGTGCCATGCGTCTAGATTATCTGGGGATGTGGACAGTGCCGTAGTTAAGACAGCTTTCAAGGGGGATATTACAAAGAAACAGTCTAGCAAACCCAATACCAAGTTAACAAACCCCTTTTGGCCATGCCTGAGATTTCTATCTCTCTCTCTCTGGAAATGGTTAAGCAGATTCAAAGTTAAACCTTCAACCATATTTGACTATGCTAATTCGTAAATTTGTATTTCGCATCTTAACATTTCGAGATCTTTGATTTCGTTTTTTGGGAAGAATATGTTTAGCAGAAGAGTTTATATATAGATGGTAACGATTTGCTTCTTGGCTAAGACACACAAAGACTAACTCAATGAATGATACTCGAAGTCAATCGCTCAGATACCCCGAAATAAAATGAGATATATAGAAAAAACAAACCGACAGAGAAATACAAACAAAAACAACTTTATTAGCGACAAAGTTAGATCACAGAGAAAACACACAGAGAAAAAAGAAAAACAAGTTTTGGAGCGATTTTACGGATTTTCGACAAATGTATAAGCCAAACACAAGCAAAAAAAAAAATAAAAACAAAATGAAAAATGACAACAAACCGAAATAGAGATAAAAAAAAAAGAGAACACAGAATATGAGAGATACACAGAGGAAGATTTAGAAAGTTTTACAGAAGAAATGAGAAGAAACAAGATTTTGCTTTGGTTCTAAACTAACTTTTAGTTTTGATTGTTAACCCATTTCATCGTCTAATTGTATTTGGACAATGCATATCCGTCCACAGCTTTGATTGACTTAACACCTTTGGGTTCCATTTTAGTTCATCGAAAGACCCACTCACATGACCTATCCTCGAAATCCTTTCCTTATCCGCTTTGTCCTGGAGTTGAAGATTCGCCTTTTTTCTAAATTCAAGGATCAAAAACGAAGAAATTCTAGTTAATTTTATTAGTGGAAATTTTTTTGCAATCGGCATCAATTTGATAAGAAATTATGAATTATGCATTGGCTATCAGGTTTTATATATATATATATATACGAAGATATATATGGAAATCGCGCGTAGGGAAAATACAAAGTGTATCTAGAATGCAATGGAAAGCAGGCAGAGCAACTCTAAAGACGTAAATCTAATTGTATGCTAATGATATATACACATCTATATATAAATATATATATATATATATTTACATAATTTAATTTAAGTCAAATGGGAATATTAATAAAAGCGATAACTAATCTGTAAATCTGTGTTTACTTTGCCTATCTTTCAGCGAACTTTAACATTTAACAGCAAGTTTGTCCTTTCGCAGAGAGCGTAAAATCTAAATGCCAGCGATAAGAACTCAATTTATTGGCCTGATATTATCACGATTAATTTAGTGTAATTCAGTTTATGGATCAAATTGCTTTGCACCCGCGATTCCATTGTTTGTCCTCCTATAATTTGTAGTCAATTTTCCTTTTTTTTTGTCAGGGCCAGAAAGGCACCGGAAATGCCAGACGATTTGGTAATCAACGCTTATTGATTTGGGATTCAGCGACAGGTTTCCCTGGAAACTCAACTGACTGAGTATAAAAAACAAGGAAATTTATTATTCAACATTTTATCTGTTTTTTGATAATGATAGTAATGGAGTATAACCAGTTTTAAGGTTATTTTTGTGAGGTATGTCGGTTGGCGGGTTATTTTTATTCTAATCATTATCATCTAACAAGAACACTTAACTTAATCTATACATTTTGTTTGGTAGTAGTAAGCTGATATGTTTGGTCTTGGCAACAACAGGAATCAAGTTGTAAATGATGGGAAATGTTTATTAAATTTATAGATTTTTTAAACATATTTTTAAGGAAAACATTTTGACTTTTTGAATATTTTCTATCTATTTTCTGAATAAAAGTTGGTTATCAATTTTTATTAACTTACATAAAAACATAACAATAACCATTATTAAAATTATTTTTCTTACTCCTATCAAACCGTGGTAACTCTGTTTAACATCCACAAACGAGCTGGTCACACTAAAACACCATGATAAGCGCTGATCCATAAAACTCTTTAAATAGACCGAAATCCCCCAACAAAAGCTGTGATTCAGGGTCCCAACGAATTGGCGCCGTCAAGCGGAAGATGTCGTTGGAATGGCCCAGCTGTGCTGCTAGCTGCGGATCAATCAAGAAGCTGCCGCCAACAGGTGAAACAAGAGAGCAGCAACAACAACGAAGTAGACAAGCAGAGACGTCGACGTCGGCTGAGCACTTGCCCTGCGCTATCTGCTTGGTTTTATCAGCTTGGTTTGGCTTGCTGATTGCGGGCCTACTCTCTCTTTTGCTTTGGCTCTCCCGCTCCCTAGCTCTCTCTCTGGCTCTTAGTGTTTTTATTGGCGACGCAAACAGCTGAAACAACGCCGACCGAATGTCGGGCAAGCATCGGCTTTTCAGAGTTTTTGTCAGTGTTTTTTGAACAGCCGTTCAGTGAATTACAATCGACCAGCTTTTCGCTCGCTCGCTCACTTACCTTACCGCCAACTCCCCGCTCGCTCTAACTAATCAACAAACACCAGCTGATTTTGGATGCTCTTAAGTGTTCCACACGTCGTATACGTAATATCTGACGTTGCTCTTCGTCGTATTTCTTGGAGGCGCAACAATAACAAGTGTTTTGAGCGTGGCGGGCTTTTCTGAAAAACAAAGTTTATAAACAACAACAACAGGCTAATAGCCATTAAACCAAACAACAACAACAACAACAAGTTTCCAGCCTAGGTAACAAAAATAAAAAAAGAAAAAAATAGTTGAATAAAATCCAAATTACGGGTGCGAAATAATTACATTTAAAGGCGGACAGTTGAAGGGGCACAACAATTGCGTCGTTAAACCCGCCGAGTTAATTTAACCCCCACCCACCAACCAACCCCCTCGCTCTCACACTATGGAAATGACTTCCCAGTGTGCCAGTATAAGTGCGCGTGTGTATTGGCATTAGTGTATGTGTTTGTGTGTGTGTTTTTGGCATTCTAGGCATTCGACCTAATCAACAAGTTCAATTTAGTAGTCAACTTTTTGGATAGAACTGACGGCTTGCTCTCTCATTCCTGCACATTGCAAATATAGTTTATATATATAGAAATATTTCTGTGGAAATTTTGCGAACAAACAAAATCTTTCGCATAAATTTACCGGCATGTGGTCATCATCAGTGTTCGTTCTCTTAGGCGCTCTTCGAAATGCTCTTCAGCGCATAAAACAAGAACTGTATAAATATTTACATTAATTGCTGGCCTGTGTGCGTGTGTGTTTGTGTGTGTTTTTGCTAATGATAATACAAGTTCCGCAAGTTCAACGACAATTAAATAATATTGAAAACAATCGAATGAACTGAGTTACGCTTCAGGGATTCCATAAAATACACATACTATATACAAAAGTGATTAACTAACTAATAAAACCCAAAATTGAGACTCTGGATCTATTATTAAGTGCGGTGGTGGCTTCTAAAGACTTTGTCACGACATTTTCACTAACTAACTATTATTAAATCTCCCCACCCATGTAAATTATAAACTCGAACTGCATGACGATCCCTTAGCAATGGTGTTTCTACCCATCTATTTCTCCTCCTCTCACTCGCTCTCTCTTTCTCTTTCACTCACCTGTTGATGCGACTTTGTCAGGTAATTGCTAAAATCAATATGTACAGTGTGTCCGGGGCAAAGAATACTCGATATCGGGACAGACGAGGCTTGTTTTGAACTTTGCTTTTAGCTTTTTTCTCAGTCACATTCTCACATTTTTTCTCGCCTTTTTTCCCGAGTCTTAATTATGCCCAGTTTTGATTCAAATTATAAACTCGACAAGGCATCAAACGACAGTCTGAGACGGCTAAAAACAACAACAACCAGAGGGTATTTATTATAAACAAGGCGGGAAAATGTTGTTACACATATGAAATAGACAATACCCTAGCTTTGTTGGAAAGTTTAAGCTCAAAGACAAAGGAAACTTTTCTCTGAATCTCTGTGATCTTTCTTCACAGAATAAAAGTAAAGGGAATAATTTGTAAAAAATATTTTAAGGATTTGAATAAAAATGAAGGGTTAATCTTATATCTTAACACAACATTTTTAAAGATTTTTAAATTATGTTAAAAATTCTTAGTTCGTATTTCTATAACTTTCCTTCTCGAAACTTTATTTCTTTGATATAATTTTAAACCCAACAACAGCCTTAACCAAAAAGCGCATCTTCTCCAATACGCCAGTGTATATCCATTTCAAAAACCTTAAGAAACTGGTTTTGTTTTTATTTTCTCGGCTCGAACAGATTTGCAATGTTGGCTTCGATTCGGGGAAAAAACCGTTCGATATTAACCAAGTTAGCATTGTGATTTCACTCTTTATAAATATATAAATACCTGGTCCATAGCCAAGGATGATTTGCATAAATGGAAGCTGCTAAAGATAAGTCGTATCTAGTATTTATGTTTGCACAAGTGCAAAGTGCAAAATATGCCTAAAGGGATTTAAAACACAAACTGAGTCATGTCTATAGATTGAGAGTAAACCATAACTAACTTATATCACAGACACTTGACAGTTCAATTAACTAGTTTCTATAAATCAAATAATTATTCATTCGATTGATTAATTGGAAGTGTTTTGTAAGTAATAAAACTAATTGGATTTATAGCTAGCTACTATATCAATTCTCAATCTAAAATCCCTTTACAAAACCTATTTTATTTGTAAACTAAGATTTGGCTAGCCAAAAAGCCCAAAAAACTGGCAGTTCTAAAACGCACTTTGTATCTTACAACTTTCATTTCCAGTTTGGTTTACAGCCAGACTCTTTTTTTGTTACCAACTTGGCCAGTGTTTTCCCGTTGTTTTTGTTTTTGTTGCTTATTCTCACTCTCCCGCTTCTTGTCAAGTACAATCTCGTCTTCAAGAAACAATTTCGTTCGAAGATTTTCCGTTGGCTTCACTGGCTTTTTTAACTTGCCATTGTACTTGATTTTTATATTATTTTTTTTAGCACTTTTTGGGTTGAGTCATGGCAACAAACCAAAGATCACAACGTTTCCGAACTGTTAAGTCTGGCCATTATTCGAAGCGGCGTTGCGGGATTCCCAGAAAGCCTTAAATTTAGCCATAACTCTGTACTCCTCAACCTGTTATTGTTTTGAAAAATAATTAATAAGATTTGGCTGAGATCTTGAATGTCTAAGTGATGGGTTTGATGGGTTTCTCAACTTCTGGGGGGCCCTTATTAAAGGTGGAAATACTAGAAAATAGTTAATAAGTGGTTAGACACACTTGCTATATGACAGACAGATTAATAAGTCAATATGGGGGTATAGTATAGGGCAAACCAGAGCCTCAATAAGGTCTGAAAAATAAACACTCTATAAGTGCATTGATAATTACATTGTTAAAGGTCAGAATAATAACTAATTATACTAATATAAACTGATTTGTTCGTACTTAAGCTAACTAACTAATCATACTAACAAACTTAGATTAGTTTGTACTTAAACTAAAGTTTCTGTTTACTATAAGAAATATCTAAGAAAGTTTATACCTTTTTAAGATACTCCCATCAGCACTCATGTATTAACCATTAACCATGTGACTAATACTAAAATTTAAATAAACTGAAATTTTAACAGACTTTTCTAATGATAACAAAGAAAGTACACAGCTTATAAAAAAGTCTTATCAATCGATTTCAGACGTTTAAGACTCATGATAGGTTCCCATAATTTAGCAGCGAAACCAATTTTTTACGATCCCTTTATGGACACAATCTAATCGGAAAATTCTGCGAACAAACATTGGCTGATGTAATTTGCATGCACTCAAGGCAGGGTTCACTGTACAGTTATAATTCGCGTGTAGGAAATCCATTTATGGCCACTGATATTCAATACATAGTTTTCATATCAATAGATAGATAATGAATGCCGTTTCCACATGGTTATCTTCTCTATTATATTCTTGGACACAAATATTGTTGTTGTTTTTGTTGCTTTTGGGCATCCACTGTACTTATCTACAAACTGATTCCATGTGAATATGTGTGTAATCTTTCTCATAAAATGGCAAAACGCAATCAAGAAATAAACAAACCATTTAACTTTGCTATATCTCCCTTTCGAATTCCGCCAATCGAAGTACGCTTATCAGTATTTATAGCTCTGTTACAGTGAAAGCTCGATTAGGGGGATACGGATTAGCTGACACTTCGAGGAAGTTATAAAAGTTTCTTATTACAATTTGGCTTGGAATACGGCATTCATACTGATTCATTCTTTCATTCAAATATTACAAAAATTTAAATATTTTTTCCGTTTTTGCCAAAGAAATTAAAACAGAAAATTGAACGACAAAGGTTTTGCTTGACTTTTATTCGCTATTAGGACTTTCTCAAAGGAACTGTAAAACATTTACTAAATATAATATATTTGTTATAAATTAAAAATCTATTTTTTGATTTCCTTCTCACCTTTAAGGAACCGCATTACTCAGCGAGCACAAAGACCTAAAAAACCGACCCATCCTTATCTTCAATTTCAACGTTCGCTTTCATTCCAGTTGACATTTTTGACTCATCACCATTTGTGCCGGCTGATAAGCAATCATGATCGACCTGGAGGACCTGCCCCGGCTGCAATCCTTGTCCCCGGCCAAGGATATCGAGGATACCTATCACCAAACCCAACTGCAACCGAATCCCAAGAAGAAGGTCACCGTCCGTGTGCCCATTGGACCGCCCTCGAAGCTGGCTAAGTTGATTAAGCCAACGGTGGCTTCTACTCCTGCTATTCTGACCACGCCTACGCCCACGCCAGCCTCTCTAGAGACCCCACCCACACCGACCTCGACGACGACCTCAGGTAACGCCAAGAACATTTGGCGAGGTGGCTTCCATTTTACCACGTTGGTGAGTATTGCTAGGGGTTAACCTAACTGCTATACCAAATTGCCAGCACAAATGTTGTTAGGTCAGGTATTAGGGATCTCCTTTCAGAAGCTATCATATCTTTATATGACCACCATCAATCTTAATTAATTTTTATATGTGGGTCTTTTAGGCAAATTGAACTTTTTGTTTGGCTTTAATGTGAATCATACTTTTGATAGGAATACTACTTTCTTTTTTGAGCGCGGCTAATGTCACCTATTGTTTTAGCCTTCTGGTATTTTGGTGCTAAAAAATCATTATACGATATGATATACCAATATCACCACCATTTATATATTAAATGTTGATAGATAAGTCTTAAAAATTCCGGCATCTACATTTTATCAAGCCGTCTCATTTATTACTTAAAATGAGTAATATATTATCTACTACTACTTCATACATTTATTTATCATAAAAATTACGGATAGTTTTTAACCATCCACAAAATATCTTTAATTTTATCCCTAAAATAAGCATCTTAATGAATGAAAATAAATCAAAAGTGCCTATTAAGCATTTTGCATGGACACGTGTCCAAAACATGTAAAATTAAGCCATATCTACATATGATTACATCAGGTGTTAAGCTTGAGAGCTTAAAATCTTAAATATAAATAACTTTTTAGCTTAAATTTTAAGTATATCCCTACTAATATTTAAATATTGAATATATATGTAAGTTACCCCAAAATAGCTTACACCAACCCGGAGAACAGGTAATTATTTAAAATACATTTTACATTAAGAATATAAATTTCCAGCAAAAAAGCTTTTAAGTACTTAAAAACCCACCGCAGTGGTGAATTATAATATAGACATGAACGGTCACATTGAGCTTTCCGTCACTGTTAGGAAACCAGTTCTAGTACGACCGCATTTGAGGTGACGAAAAATACTTTCAACACATGAAAGCTCAACAGAGTACCAACTAGCTATCTCCCACTGGCCCCACTGCAAAAAAACACCGCGCTGAACAGACGTTTTTTTTGTTGCTAGGAATCGGTAGTGATCAAAAATCGCGACCAATTTCGACGGCGGAGAAATTGCCAAAAGTTGACAAACAAACACGTTTTTAGTTACCACGTAGGTAAGCCGATAAGCGAAAGAGAGTAGCAAAGCGGACGTGATGTTAATTTGCGAAATAACAGTGAAAGAAGACGCGTAAAGTGCGAAGTACACGCCGCTTAACTGTGTTTGTGTGCGTGTCCGTCTGGCTGCCTTTTAGTTACTGTGGGTGTGTGTGTTTGTGCCGGAACAACAAATAAAAAGTTTAAAACTACAATTGCAAAATGTTGCATGCCCCACTAAATAAATGCAACTCATTGCTGCGGTGGTGGGTTAAAGTTATCAAAGCAACAACAACGAGACCAACAGGCTAGCAACAACAGTTATTCAGCAATCGCCCCCTCTTTGTCTTGCGCGCAGTCTCCCTCTCTCTTTCTCTATGTTTCTCTGCCGCTCAGCTGACAGACTGCAATCGAACAAAAAAAAATCAAGTAAAATAATAAAAAGAATACAAAAAAAAACGAACGAAGCAGCAATTTGATAAATAATTTGTTGATGCAAAGTGCAGAGCGAAGGTTGAAATGCTGTTGCCGGTTAGTCTCGAAGTTTCCATCTCGCGCTCGCTCAATTTGTTTTGCTCTCCCGTGATTCTCCGTAAAAATTAAATCATTTTGCATTTAATTAATTGCATTAATTGTGGGCACTCGCGGTATTGGAATTGGGAAAGAAAAAAACAGCAGTTTTATGCTTTTCAACGTGTGCGTGTTATTTGTTTTTTCTTCTTATTATTTCGGTGTGTGAGTCAGAGAGCGACATGAGAAAGGGGCGATAAAAGCAAACAAAGGAATAAAAAGCGATGTGCAGGCAAAACACATGAAAATATTAGGCAGTGCAAAAACAACAATCAAAGCGAAAATATTTTTGTTTTAACCCTTGATTGGCTTGCTTATGTTAGGTGATCTCTGGACTTTCGTTTTTAAGATTTAAAATTGTTTTTGAGTGAGATGAATAATCCATAATAATAATCCATCCATAATAATTTATTATTTTAAAAGCGGTTCAAAATATTGAATAGCTTGTAAATAATTTTTTAATAATAAATCATGTGTTGTTATACGAATATAATCAATCGTTAATTTAGTTAATATTAACTAGAAACATCGAAATTGCAATAAAAATAAGTAGGTCCGTTTTAGGGTTAATAAAAGAGACGATTTCACCACGCAAAACGGCACTCACACACACACACACAGTGGCTCATATGAAAGTGCGTAGCAGACGGCAAAGAGGAAGAAACAGCTGTAATAAAATTAAATGGCAATTGTTATAAATAATAAATAGCAATTAAATGCTAATTAGCTGTTAAAGAGAAAGTTCAAGGACGTACATAGATATTTTAAGTTATAAAAAAAATATAAACGCGTGTTTTGCAGCAATTAAAAGAAAAAAAACAGAAAAAGAAAGTGAAACATAAACAAATAAGGCGGCTGTTAAAAAGTAAAGAGGAAAGTGAACGTTAAACAATAAACCATCATTCACCATTGTGTGTGCAGCAGGAAGGAAGAAGCGGAGGAGAGGAAACGCAGAAGATTCAAGCTGAAATATACAACAACAACAACAGCGACAACAAGGAGAACATTTACTGCGCCGCAGCATTTTACCGTTGTAGTCGGGCTCTCATCATCCAAAAAAAATTTGAGGTGAGTGCACTGCAATACACCCACACCCCAAAGTACACATACATTTAATCACAAGAACCCTCTCATACACGCACATGCATACGTCATTCGGCCCCTCTCTTTCGCACATGCCTTTTCATTGAGAATCGAGTTTGGTTTTTTAATCTATTATTTTTTTTAATTTAAATTGTTGTTGCCTATTGCTAATGGCTTTAAACAAAGAAAGTTTATATCGAACCTCTAACGAATTTCGCACATTTGTTGTTGCTGGCCGTCCTTGAATTGGGTGTTTCACTTGGCATTGCGCACATTTCAAACGCTTGCGAGAGAGAGACCTTGAAAAAGTTCAAGTTCAAAGCCATTTCGTCTGGGTCTGGGTCATTCCTTCCTTTTCACTCTCCGCCTCTTATTTGGGTGGGTGGATGGATGTCTGTTAGCCCATGGTTCAGGTGGGCGGGGTTGGGACAGGATGGGCATATTAAATGCGTTGTAGATATGGCCAACAAGGATAAACAAATATCAAAAGAGAATTCAATTTCGTGCTAACATTCTTGACCTGCTTAATGGTCTGTGAATATTGAATTAACCAATGTCTAGTGCTGAAGGTCATCATCATCAGCCTTTCTAGGCTAACCACTCTGGTTTCCTGTATCTTTGTTAAAATTTCAATATTAAAGAAACTGTCTAACTGAGAATTCGATGCAGCTTTAATAGATTAGAGATCTGATTAGATCAGAAAGTAATTGCATACTAGATAATATTTACATTGATGAAAAAACGTAATAATTATAACAACTAAAATATCGAAAAATTTATTAATTAGAACCCATTATCCCCCCGGAAATGAAAACTTTCTTTACTACACTTCCTCGTGCTCGCAGTGCTTTATAAAAATCGAATGGCAAACACAAAGGCCGAACCACTCGAAACAAAAGTATTTTCATTTAGCATTCAAACTGCATATATGGCCATGCAGCTATGTACATCTCATATACATATATTACACTATATAATACTTAACAAATGGTTATGCTTACTAATTCCATTCTATTTGTTGTCACATCTTGATTTGCTTACAGAACGAAACCGAGGACAGTCATCAATTAAAAGTGAAGAGCATTGGAAAATCGCGGGAACGTCGTCGTCGGCGGTGCAAACTGCGAATTTTCTGTTTTTGCGCAGATTTTTGGAACGAGTGAGAAAGGAGGCCGGTAGGCGGGGCAAGGCGACGTCATTGAACGCATAGATCCCGGACGACGCAGCCATCGAGCTGTTGTCCGGGACGGAGATCAACAAGAACAACAGCAAAAGAGGTGGTGGAGGAGGAGGAGGCGGGCAGAGGTTGGACTACGGACTATAGAAGTCACCCACGCACCCATTCTCTCATAGATTGAAACCCCTTGAAGCAACACAATGATCTCAAATAAAAAATCGTATGCTATGAAAATGCTGCAGCTGGCTTTGGCCTTAAGTCTGCTGCATTATAATCCGGATTATCTACTCCATCGCTGGGACTCGCAGCTGGAACTGGGCACCCATGGCGATGGATGGGAGCTGGAGATGCTACGCTCGGTCCATCGTTTGGATATGGATCAAAACCCCTATGGAAATCGTAAAGGATTGAGTCCGAGGATTGAAGATCTACTGAATTTCGATGATCCCTCATTGGGAGGTGTTGTCAATGGAATGGGGGAGTACAAGCTTCCTCCGAGTTTCAATGGCAGCACCTTCGTAATGAATCTGCATAACACCACCGGGAATAGTAGTGTCCAGACAGCAGCTCTGCAGGATGTACAGAGTAATAGTGCTGGAGCCACTGCCAGTTCGGTGGGGGTTGGTACCGGTAGTTCACCCACATCCGGTGGACCAACTAGTGGATCAGGACTAGGAGAAATCCACATTGATACCGCTTCGTTGGCAGCTGGAAATGCAAACCATTCGCTCCTGCATCCAGCACCTGAATTGGACATTTTCCTTTCGCCACATGTCCTGCATGATCAGCGTTCGATTTGGGAACAGAATCTGGCGGATCTCCATGACTACAACGATTTGAATTTGCATCCCAGTCCCTATGTAAATCTACCTCTTAAGGATGGCCAGCAACAGCCACCGAATAGCTCGCACTTGGATCTCAGTTTGGCTGCCCTACTTCATGGTTTCACTGGTGGCAGTGCCACGCCTTTGAGCAATGAAGCCCTCAACGACAGCACGCCACATCCCAGGAATCTGGGTAGTGTCACAAATAACTCGGCTGGAAGGAACGATGGGGATGGCGAGGAGAGCCTGTATCTGGGTCGACTGTTTGGACAGGACGAGGACGAAGATTACGAGGGCGAGATAGCCGGTGGAGTGGCCAATGCCTGTGAGGTAGAAGGTCTGACCACCGACGAGCCCTTTGGCAGTAATACCTTCGCCAATGAGGTGGAAATCGGAGATGACGAGGAGGTAACCCAAAAAACACTAAAAAAAATCACTTAAAGAAAACCACGCAAGTCAAGTAGTTTGAGTTAAGGTAGGTTTACTTTAAGCCGAAGTACTTTTCATATTTGAAACTAAAAGGTATATTAGATTTAAGTTTTTGTTTTGGTTTCATGTACTTATATCATCATAATCATTAAAGCAAAGTACAAATAACTAGGTCTACGTTCCTAAACTAACATATTTTGACTCTCATTTTCTCCGTGTGTAGCTGTAAATGACTTTGATTTGACTGATTAGAAGGCACTAAAATGGCACCACCTGCAGAGTGTGTGCATCGGTGTGTGTTTGTGCTCATTATCAAGCGGTGTTGCTAAAAAAAAGCTTTTTGCATTGCTAATGAAGATTCGCGAACCCATCGCTTGACCCATTCCCGTCTAGGGTTCTCCCCTTGGCGGCTTCCTCTCTCCATTTCTAACTGGTCTTTGGTTTAGCTTTCTTTATAATTATAGTTTGTTAGTTTCCCCCCTAAAACCAATCGATATTCAAATGTGACTTTCTGTTATGAAGTATGGTGTTTGGTCATTCGACGACGACGATGAGTGAGTCTGACAATTTGCTAGCTTATCAGTAGATAAGGTTTCTAACTTTGTTTACACATCAGCATGACTGTTTGCCATGGTTATCCACTCATACATTGTCAATCTATTGGAGTGTATCTATAGTTGGCTAATAAGTTAGTTGGATGCCTTTAATTGAGAGATTAATGGAGAGCTATCGATGGTTAGATAGTGTTTATGAATCTCAGATATAGATTATATAGTCTGTTCTGTTCAAACTGAAAGAAAAACGATATTTAACAGCTTTCTTGTCTATATACATAAATCTTAAAGAAGTATTTTTCCAAAGAAAAGACATATCTTTTGTTTGTTTTAAACATTTCGAACCGTGCGCAACAACTTTCACCGTCTTCGAGTCTCCTAAAGTTCACATATTATATGCAAACACAGAAAACAAGCAGCAATTAGGTCATTAAACGCTTCGACTGCGCAAAAACCCATTTAAACTGCGAAACAACAGAGCAGCCAAAAAGCAAATAAGATATATATTCGTATAATGTGGAAAGGGATTATTAATATTCAATTAAATAATTACCAAATGAGCAGTAAAACTGGAGTTATTTATGATTACCGAACATAATTCAGGCTTAAAATTAGGGATTGTATGGGATCAGAACTCATTTTCCTTTTAGGTAGGGTCATTCATTTGTTAAATCGCTTTAATGGCTTACAAATATCGCCATTTATGTGCATGCGTCTATATAGATATGAATCAGTTTTGTGTGTGCGCTCGATTTTTATTTTTATTTCAAAATCAAATTGAATGTCGGCGACAAATGTGCGGCGATTTTTTCATTATTTGTTTTTTTACACTCATTTTGCAAATTGCAACTTAAATATGCATAAATATTTATACTTGGCCTGGCCAAGATCGTCTGACAAAGGGGGTGGAGTGTGTTAGGCGGGAGAGATATGGCCGAGACAGGAGAAGCGAGATGACTAACTCGGTTTTATTTTCGATTTATTCAGATCTTTGTTTTTGCTGTTCTGTCGAGTTGACTGCAATTTGATGTTTTTTTCGCTTTATTTTTTATTTTTGTTTGCTGTGTTCCAACATGTCACGAATGTTTTCCATTTTGGCTGATGACGGTTTTATTTATTTTTTTCTTGTGTTCTGACTGACTGTATGTTCTTGAGAGGAGGCAGCATGCATATGTACATAGAAGACATACTCGTAAGTATGTGCTTTTGATATGATCTAATTAAATGCATTCAGCATTCGCATTGCATAATCATCGAAGCGATGGCGATTAATGATTGCTTTTTTGCTTGCCTTTGTTCTTTAACTTTGAGTGGGTTGTGAAGAACTTCCGTGATTTTATTGAGTTGTGCATTGCCTTTTGTAATTATTAAATCAGACATTAAGAGGTGTATTGATCAGGTGTTGTTAAGCTCTTTTAAAAGAAGATTATATCATTTTTAAGGAAAGTTATTCAAACTAAAGTGCTTCTAACGTAAAAAGAGTTCAATATAAGAAGTTTCTTTCTTTCTACGTCTTCCTAGGTTGATATATTCTAACGATAAATGAATAACTAAACAAGAGTACTGGGTATTTCACGCTCTAAAAATCTGCATTATTATAAAGTTCTTGTTTGGTAATTACAACTTGCGGTAGCACAGCTGCTAATCATTATTCCATAAACATATATGGCCATAAGAAAGAATAAGGTAGTTCCCCCACAAAGAACCATCTATCTTGAACGGGTGTATGTGTCACCTTACCCGCCCCAAAAAGATCAACTCCTCTCCACCTGTAGCTATCTATCTCTATCACTAGTTCTCCGATGAGTAAGAAAGAGAGGTCGCCAACAGTGCGTATGTGTGACCTCATCACACACACTACAGCACTCTATAGCTGACAAACTCAAAACTCAAAAACTCTACTTTGTTGAATGTCGTCTACCTCGCGCTGTCTTTCCACTAATTGCAAATCTACCAAGCTTTGTAGCTTTTAACGTTTCGCTTTAACTCATTCGTTTATACTTGTATTTATAAACACGGTCAGCGTTTTTATTTCTCTTCTTTATTTTCCTTATTTTTTTTCTTGTTGTTTTGTTTTGGTGTTATTTTTGGGGTCTCGGTCTCGCATTTTGATTGAGATTCGCAAGAATGAAATAAAAGCTCGCTGAAAAAAGTGAGAGAAAAGATTCGTTGAACTTCGGTTTTGATACTCTGTTAGGGAGTTATATAAGGTTAATGATGGAGTTTATTCTTGTTGAACTATAAAATTCTATAAAGTTTATATATTTATGCCTATAATGTGAACTATATAAAGATCTATAAATTACACTTTAATAAACTTATTTTTATAACCTTTAATTTGTAGAATTATTTTAAGCCTTGAAGAGTATTTTTAATACGGTTTTTCAAAATCTTCTATACTTTCGATTGAGTCATAGCATCTCAGGTGTCGTGCATTTTATTCTCTTTGTTTTTCTCATTTTCCATTCAACAATTTTCCATTATTAAATCACTCTTATAATTGCTCAATTATCACTTTTGTCTTGATTTTCCAATCTCAGTGCATGCATATGTGTGTGTGTGTGCGTGTGTATGAAAAGGGGTGGCAAAAACTTGAAAACAAAATCAAAGAGTGAAAAACAGCTGATTTGCCGGCTTTTCTTACACACCAAACTTTATGCATTTCACTTCACATTCAGCCGGCTCTCTTCACCTCATTCAGCAAATACACCACTGGCAACATTTGTTGCTAAGGAAATTCAACATTCACCTCAGACAAAGCTAAATAGTAATGACAACAACCTATGCTTAGCAGAGTTTCAAACTACAAACTTTGTAAATCGATTAATAACTATCGAAATATGATAACGTATTAGTAGGCGGTATTTTGAAATTCGAATTTGCTGATAATGTCAAAGTAATCTATTTTTAAGGTTGTACTTATAGTCGGCCACTTGGGTTTGGGATACTGCCTGCCTGTCCGACTAGCTCTTATCAGTCGCTGGTTTCAACTTTACGAAATTCGTGCAAAACAAACTTTATCAATTGAAAATAATCAAAAAATTATATATATATGTTTATGAGCCCCTCGAAACTGCTAATCAGCCGCCTGGCCAGACATTCTCGATCGCGACCAAAACGAAAGTTTCAGTCTGCGTTATGCCGATTTACAGTGAATACGTTGAATACGAGAATCGCCAAATCAAATCAAGCGGAAATCAATTTTCAATCGTCGTACAAAATGTGTCTCAACGAGGAGTACAAATATATGCACATTTACTTAGCGGTCTGTGTTGGCTTCCAACTTCCTATATAGCATATATATATATATATATATATATATATCTTAGCCATTAATCTGTGTTTACTGGGAATAAACTTTCTATTCACATGGCAAAGTGTTGGCAAAAAAAAAAGACAAAAAGAAAGAAAAAACTTAAAATATATATATGTGTAAGGCCTGCAAATTGAAAAATAATTTGCCTGTAATTACGTTGCATTTTCCCACTTAATTACCCTGAGCCAAAGAAGCTAAGAAGAAGCATTAGCTTGGCTATAAGTGTTTATATTTTGTACTTCTGTTTTTTTGTTGGCCTAAAGTTTTGTTTCCCACCAAGTTTGTTGGTTAATTTCCATAATTAAATACCGTTAATTATGGTTCGCGAACTTCTGCTAAGAGCCATGCTATACACTTTTAAAAACTAAGTTGTTTTCTATAGAATATCACACAAAAACCTTCAAATAAGTTAACTTACAAGTTTTCTTTGAGTGTCCCATTCAGTGAGCAAAAAGTTCAGATGTCAAATTGATTATAAGGTCGAACAAAAAGCAGCCACGAACTGAGTTCAATTTTCAAATTGATAATTGCAGGGAAAACCTTTTTCGATGACACAAAAATGAACTGTTATTAAGGCCTAATAGCTTGGCGGGGTTGCTGTTGTTGCCAACTCAAAAGCAGGCAGTTAAAACAGGACACTTGAAACAGGGCTTGAGCAATCCGTCAGATACAAGTGCATACACATATATAGATACAATTCAACTTTGTTGGTGGCGGCACACACACACACACACAATCTGCAGTCTTCTGTGGGCTTGACGAGCTCATGATTAATATGCGCCACACTTGGTTGCCGCACTGCGATCTCGGAACTCTCCTCCTTCCAATCTCCTACATATTGTATCTTGTATCTGCCTTTTTCTTACGGATTGGATTTGTATCCCACAGATGCGATGGTGAAGTGATCGCTCCGTTCGTGCTGCGCTGTCAGTTCAGGTGTCATCAGGAAAATCTTTCTTTTTTTTCGCCGAGGCTTTATTAATGACTCTTGGCTCCTTTCCCTTCCTTTTAAGTCCCTGTTCTTTCCTCTCTCTCTGTGTCTCGCTTACTTTCTTTTGCTTTCACTTGACTTTCATCATTTGCCGCCTCTGCAGGATCAGAAAATCATTTATCTTGCTAAAGCATTTTGTGTTCTGTGGTCAAGTTAATGGTTAAAAATCGGTTCAGTTAAGCGGACTAATTGCCGCCACAAACGGTTACAAGTGTCAATATTTTGATGCAACATGGGGGGGCAGGCACAGCCAAACTTCGTGATTGATTGTTTCGGATCACTGTTGTTGCTACACCGTCTTAAGGTATTACTCAGATTTTAAAGAGAATTTTTATACTGTTTTAAATTCCCGGGTCTTATCTGCCACTTATCAATGCTCGAATACGTTAGTTAGTTGCTCATTCAAATGGTTGTCTCGAGAGCGCCCCACGTGTCGATTCGAAGGGGGAGAATTGAAAAGTTCAGCGTGAACTACAAGGTCACGGAGAGAGTTTCCCAAGCCCTAGCGATAAGAATTGGCCCATAAATATGGCTATAAATGTGGATCAAGGCATTGGTCTAGTTAGGAGTTCTTAGGAAGGTTGCTAGCAGAAAGTTCATTGAACTCGTATAAGATCATGTGATTAAAGTGTCTTCCATGTACCATTTGTGACTCTTCACCCTTTTTCCTGTTTCGTTTCCTTTCTGAAATTCCAAGTTTAAATATGTATATTTATGGTGCTTCACGGACCTCTTAGACTGTCACGTATTGCGCGAAATTCTATAAGTACAAGATAAGGTCGTATTTTCGACCCTAACCGATAAGAACTGTAACTCTGGCTACACTGTAATTTAAAGGCTATGATAAAGAGAATTTATTAAGGGAAGATATTGCTTAAAGTTTTTTAATGAAAAAAGTAAAAGCAACTTGTTTTAACGTTTTGTTTTTTGAGTTTCTTTGGAGAAAAGAAAACTTCATACAACTTCCCTTTTTGAGTTTAATTAAAAACCAAGTTTCCAATCAGCAGCCATAAATAGCTATATACGACTATACCCGCACGATTATATATGTTTGTAATGAACAACCCCCCACTTGATATGTTGAAAAAAAAGAAATAATAATGAAATGCCAGCAGGGGAGGATTCGGTTTTTTGGTTTTTGGTTGGGATCCGAGACCTTCTTCTTTCCTCCGCTCAATTTAATTGCTCATTTTTACCGAACATGCGCAACGCACAGCAGCACACATTCAGATACAGTGGTTAGTCTATAAGAGGAACTTGGGAACAATCAAATAATTAATAAGTCACAAACTAGAATGTTGATTTCGCGGAAGGTTTAGACATAAATTAATATGGTTTTGATCATATTTTCTACCATAAATTTTGTGTAAAGGGATTTTTGACTTGTTTTAACAATAATCTTACTAAAAAAACATTTTTAAGTTTAAATTTAAAGTTATTTTTTTTATTAAATTGAAACTAATCCAAAGATGCAAGCTAACTTCTAACTCAAATAAAACTTAGTTTCCTAAAACCTTCATAAAGATAGTTCAACTTCTACACGTTCTACTGTATTTACGGGCACATGCTCCCTGGGGAATTGGCTCTGCTAGCGCTATCCCAGCTGCTCAGTCGACGTCGCTGTCAGCGGTGGCGCGGCAGCAATTGATTGGGCTCAACACAGTGGCCCTTAATTTCTCCGGATGGTTCTCAGGGAGGTGAGGAGTATAGGAGCAAGGGAGACGGCAGCAGAGACCAATGATGCCGCCGCCATATTCTGCTGACTAATCCAGGAGATAGGCGTGGCCACAATGATTGATTACTTTTTGTTGCCACTGTGGAAAAGTCCAAGAAAGCCTCACGAAAAGGGCCAAAAAAAAAAAAAAAAAAACTGTATAAAATAGTAAAAGAAAATGTACGCCACGGAAAAATTGTCACACGAAAGAAAAACCTCAAAAAAAAAAGGAGAAAGAGAAGGAAAGAAACATTTTTAATTAAAACATCAGAAAGTCCTTTTGACTGAAAAGCAATTGTACTGCTAATGTCCACTATTATCCTGTGATTATCCCTCTCAGTCAAAGTCATATCTCTCACTATATAGACTTTCCATATTCTACCTGTTTTTCAGAAACCGAAACGGTTTTACTACGGGGCTTAAGTGTGGGCGACAACGCCCCGTTTCCTTTGACCAAAAATCTGAAAACCCAACTTGACTTGACCAAAAAGTTGGAAAGGATTAAAGTGGTTTCGGCCAGCAGCGTTAATAATGCATCATTAACGCTATAATTTGAGTTCGAATACCACAGCTTAGTCCCTCTCTTCTTCCACTGCATGAATTGGCAGAATTTTGGCCAACAAACATCTTCATCGACGATCTGCAATACTTTGATTTCCGTTTTCCAGATTCTCTTTACAAGTTTTTGTCAAGTGTAGGGCCGCTCTTAGCTGGCAAATTTATAGCCACAGAATATTGTTTACAGTGTGGCAGGCGGCGGGCGATAAGAGATCCGGTCGTTCGCTACGGCGTAAACAAGTCCCGTGTTCTATGTGAGGCACGCCGTAAGAGAGTGCTACTACACCCCCTAACCCCCCTTTTGAATCAGCCTTATAAATACTATGTATATCATCCCGAACTCTCCTCTCTGTGCTGTTTGTCCCATTGATAAGATTCGCCATTATCGATCAGCGGTGTCCAAAGAGCGACAAGCACTCTTCGAGAGGTTTCCACAGGTTAAGGGAGCGCGGTCGATGGGTTGTGAATTATGGTATGGACTTGATAAGGATGGTGAAATAAGAGAATCTATATGTAGGGGCTGTTACTTAAGTAATTCTATATAGTACATCTGGTCTTATGTTTTTTACTTAACTTTTTAGTACTAGCTGGTCAGGGTGTTAGATATAATCTTTGAAAAGGCATAATGTCTCATGGTAGTCTGGTGAGTTATCTTAAGAGAGGACAGTTAGATGATTAAACTAGCTTCTAAGAGATTGGTTTCTAATCAACACAAGCCAATAATAGGCTTTAAAGATAGTGATTTAACTTCAAAGTTTGCAGAAGCTATGATGAGAGTCACCACAAGAGTACAAACAAATTAGTTTAAAGTAAAAAGGTTTCAAAGTAACAAACTAAAAACTATTTATATAAAGGATAAAGGATATCCTTTTCTGATTTATTGTGAATTCAACTTTTAGTAAGGTTTTAACTTCCTAAACAAAGTTATAGAATTCCTTTTTTTTACGACCACTCTCTTTCTTATAATATTAAAAATCCAAAATTCTAAGCTGAATTACATGTAATAAAACCAAATTTTTACTCTTTACAAAACAAACCCAAGTTTTATGCACTTTCTCATAAACATTAAGGCCATAATATAATATCATAGAGTAACCAGCATTCATATCGCTCTGACGTAGTTTTATCTATAGAACGAAGCGGCTTTATCAGCACTGGCGAAATGTAAATCGACATTATCATATTAAGTAAAGCGAAGTGAGGAAGAGCGCGAGGTGCCCCATATGGACTATGACTCGTTTGACTCTTGAGCTGCCTTCAGTCTCTCTTTGGGAACTAGCAAATGCGGGTGACGTCGCGATCGCGAATAATATAAACAAAAATCCAAATAGACTGAAAGTGCAATCGAGATAAACCTTAAGATATAGTGCAAAATCTGTTAATGAACTGCAATAGTAATCCTTGAGAAGGATCTGTGAATATGAGAGTGTTCATCTATGGCGATATATTGGTTAGAAATTTGTGCTAGCAATTGATAAAACTATATGTTTATCTATTAAGATTACGAATATACCAGATATTCATTGTACTTTTTGCCTCTTGCAGGAGAGTGAGATCGCTGAAGTGTTGTACAAGCAGGATGTGGATTTGGGCTTCAGTTTGGACCAGGAGGCCATCATCAATGCCTCCTATGCTAGCGGCAATAGTGCGGCTACCAATGCCAAGTCGAAGCTTGAAGATGAGATCAAGTCCTCGGATCCTTCCATTTCGGAATCGAGTGGCTACAAGGACACCAATGTCAGCGGCGAGAACGAGGCTAGTGGCGCCTCTGCTGACGATATTGAGAAGTTGAAAGCTCTCGAAGAGCTTCAGCAAGATAAGGTAAAGTAAAGCCATTTACATAAGGAATTTCACAATATTTACAAAGAGATAAAGCTGATGCCTTTATGGCTAACTAACAGCTATCAAAAAATGTGGGCGGGTTTACTTTATGGGGCTTCTTTATAAACTCTAGTAATGATTTTTCTCTTTTGCAATAGGACAAGGACAATGAGAATCCCTTGGAGGACATTACCAATGAGTGGAACGGAATACCCTTTACCATCGATAACGAAACTGGTAAGTTTAAGCATCTAACTCACTAGTTAATCTACTGTCTGGTTCTGGTTACATGTGAAGAAGAGCTCATTTGAGTTTCCATATCTTATCTAGGATAATATAATTTCACTTTCAAAAATAACCGGAGATAAGGTGTAGAGTAGCAGGAGATCTTTGGGGGGTTACGAAGTAGTCATAGATATATACTAAATGACACGTTTTCAGCTAGTTAAAAGAACAAATTAATTTAGGGATTAAGTTTGGATATTATTTATAAAGTCTGGTCGTTTATTTGCACTTCCGAGTTGCAGTTAAGCTTGTTAATTTTTTTCACAATCTTTTGAAATTCCCAAAAACTATCTAAGGTCGGAATGAAACTTCTATTACTGATTAAATCCCTCAAGTAATCCTTTAATATATCGTTTATATTAATATTAGCATTTATCAAAGTCTGTCTTCTAATCAAAAAAGAACAAAATTTGCTGATAACAAAAGGGAAAAGAGGGAGAAAATAACGAAATAAGTCGAAAGAAAATGGCCTGCCAAAAAGATGGCGGCTGCTCTAATATAAACGAAAATGGATTATCCTGGATTCAGTTGTTTGGAAGAGGGAGGGGGGTTGGGTAGAGTTTTAGGGGGGTGTAATGGGTGGCATACTAAAACATATTGTGTTTTGGCATTGGTGTGTGCGTGTGTTTTCGAGACGTTTATAAATGAATGTAGGCATTTTGAGTTGACAGGCACGAAAATTAAAAGAAAAATGAGCTTTTTTCGCTCGAGTTGTGTGGCAGCCAGGAAAACCCACACCATACCACACCACACCACCCACCCACCAGAATGGCTGATGGCTGCTGCTAATCTGCCCCAAACTGTGCCCCCTCAAGCGGCTGCCTTTCAAACAAACTTTGACACGCACACGAACTTTTATTATTAACCGTAGAGAGGGGAGACGGTGGCGGGAGAAGTCATGAGTTTGGAGGGGGCCAAAACTCGTCTGGGCCTCTGTGAGACTGGGTCGTGCCGCCTTTTCTGGACGACGGAATGAGACCACGACTTGGGTTTGGTAAGGGGAGATGTGATGGTGGTGGTGGAGAAGCAAGCAGATATGAAAACGAATCCAAATTCGAGGCACTGCCACTGGCACTGGCAGTGGCAGAGTAGTAAAAGTAGCAGCCACCGCGCGTCGCGTCGCCTTGCATGCAACATTTTTCTTTTGAAAAATGAACGAAACATGATTCGCCAAAATAGCAAGAGAGCCATCCGTACACACGAACTCACATAAATATATATAAAAATATATATATATATATAGGGAAAGAAGTGCTATGTACAGCATATGGCATATGGTATATGTATTCCAAAAGAGGGTTGGCTTGAAGGGAAGTTTGAACGTGCAAGGCCTCAACTTTGGCCTATAAGCTGTAGGAGTTCGTAGGCTGATCAAAGACCCTTTTTTTGCAAAGCAAAAACAAGGGCGGGGGTGGGAGGGTTTATTTGGGAGCTCTAACTTTATATATATATACTGTTAAAAAATAAATAAGTGATTGAAATTAAACAAACACCAAAGTTTGTTTTGAATTTGTAAACCTTTCTTTAAGATGGTCACACTAAAATGACTTAGAAAAGCAGATATTTGGCATTATTGGCATAGTTGCTATAATCTTTGCTTTTAAGTAACCGTTTTTTAATTAAATACCATATTTGCTATAGCCTTTATTAAAGATGGTCACACTTGAATGACTAATCCATCATTTTTTGGTATCGTTGTTTTTATTTCTTTATGCTTTGTCTCTTTCCTTATTATGACACTTGTCAATACTATAATTGGACTTTTCCCCTGTCGTAGAGCTGCCAACTTATTTAAATTTAAAAACAGCTGCAAAACAAGAGCTTGTCATTTTAAAGGAAACAATTTATGAGAAGTGTTCAAAAACCAATTGTCTATGTGATAAAAGCTTAAAAACCCTAATAAGTTAAGGAAGTAAAGGAGTTAAGTGATGTTTAAAGTTTAAATTGAAGTCTTAAATATAAATTATGAGACAAGTTTGTTAATAAATGTTTTCCAGTCTTAAAACTGAACTCAAGCAGTAAGTTCTTTCTTATATTAATTAAATTTCATCAAACAATACAACTTTGTAGTTATAGGGGTTAAATTACCATCCCCTTCCAGCTGAGCCACTGTTCCTTACCCTCTTCCTGTCACTTCCTGCCTTATCCCTTGAGTAGAGCTGGCTCATTGAGCTGGATATTAGATGAAAAAGAGGAGTAGGAGGGGAAAGTATGTACATAGCTTCTGTCAGGGATTCCATTCTTCACCCCACGGGAACAGAAAGTCGCAAATCGTTTTCCACCATTTTGTGTGGCATGGAATGAGGGATAGGGAAAGGGCAGAAGCAGGGGCAGGGGCAGCGGCAGCACAGCAGCAGCCACCATGTTGGATATATTTCCTATTCACGAGCATCTATGCTTCGTATAATGATTGCCTCGTTTTGGCCATTTATTAAAAATCCATTGATGCGATAGATACATAGATTCATATCGCATTCACACGCACTCGCCCTGCCTCGCCTTTGTCTTCGAGGCTTCGATCTCGGATTTGTGCGTATCCAAATTCCCCACGGATCGACCAGCCAACGAATCTCTGTAGTCTACAGCCTTTGGCGGCATTATTCTTCTATTGTTGTTCACGGCCTACGAAATGATATGAAACGACGACTACTAAACTGAAAGTCATTTTTCGGTTGCTGTTTCAGTTTAGATGCTATTTCATAGCCTTAAACTATAATGGTAGAGAATCTTTTAAAGGCAGAATTTTTATAAATTTCATCTTCCGCACGTTCAGGTGAGCTGTTCTTTGCTTTTCATTTAAGTTCTATTCTTCATTAATTTTAGAGGCTGTGAAATGAAGTTGTAACTGAGACATTTTCCTGGCCATTGTCCTGTCAAGGTTGCCGTGTCATGGGGACATGTGAGTGTGTGCTACTCATTGCCTTTTCTAGGATCTGAAATCTTGGTAATTAAGTTGCAAGAAGCAGTTCTGCCTTTCGTCTCGCTTTTTGTCGCCTGTCCTCCAATCAACTTCGTTTGTTACCACAGCTACAGTTCTGATTTTCTATATATATATATCTCTATATATATTATATATATTTCCCAATGAATCACAAATCTGATTACATTCGTTGTTGCCTTTCAATTCCACTTGGTTTGTTCTTTTTTCCCCCTTTTTTTAGTTGTTTATTTTTTTTGGTTTAACTTCTCAGATCGTTGACAACTTTTCGGGGCATGACTTGGCCAGAAGTTTGGCTTGGTTTTTGGTTAGAAAAATGCTCTTATTCTCAATTATGTTATAGATACTTCGGTTTTGGTTTCTTTTTCGGTGGCTTAAATTCCATTATGCAATCAGTTAGGCCGCTATGCTTGCTGCCAAGCTACGCAAGTTTATTGACCACTGTTGACTGTTTTTTTTGGTGTAGAGGAGGGGATTTTTTTTGGTGGGAAACTAAGTTCTTTTAAGAGTTTTTTTGAAAGGGTCAAAAGACACGTTTCGTGAATTTTAGGTGGAGATTGATTTGAGAAATGAGAAGGAAACGTTGAAGGTTTGAGATTTAAGTAATGAATAACTTTATTTATAAAGTTTAAAAACTTTTTTAAGGATGTTTAATAAGTGAGCCTTAATGTCTTAAGGTCCAGTGACTATAAAACCTTGTACATTAACTTTAGTAATGTAAACCAGACTAAAACTCTTCTTTTTAAAGTTCTTTGTAGTTTTAGGAAGTAAACTTATTATTAATATCAACTCAAAATTAATGAAAATGTTTCTTTTTTCGATTACCAACTTCAAATTAGTTGCATTTTCTTCTTGTTTTTCCTTTTTTAAAAAGAAACACATAGAAACCCAAGTTATTATTTAATTTCCTGCCATCGATGGCTGCTTCTCCTGGGCCAAACATCAAAGTGGTTATTACAAAACATCTGGTGCAGTGTTGGCCTGAGATGCTTGTCTCTTAATTCGGTGGCGGCGTTGCACCTATTGAGGATCTTTATGCCTCTTTTTTTAGTTCTTTTTTTTTACAAATATCTGTCTGGTGGCCTTCCTTGACCCGCCTTTTCCACTCTGCGCCCTGCTGTTGTCTGGACAGGCGAGGGAGTGCTGGTGAAGAGAGGGGGAGGCCAGAGGAGACCGTAGAAATTGTTCAAATTCTACGTGGTCAGCATTACGTTACAAATTTACAAAAAAAAAAAAAGGGAAAATTTACATGCTGACAAAATAACAAACAGACAGGGAAGAGAGGGGCTAAGGGAGAGTTATAGGTGCGAGGGGATGCAGTCGCTCCTGACCGGCTTTATTTTTGGTCTGGTCTGGTCTGGTCTAGTCTGGCCTGGTCAGCGATTTTCTGCTGCATAATCGTATCACTTTCAAGTGTTTTCGTCTTGCGCAAGTACCTACCCTCACCCATCCCTCTACCTCTCTATTAACCAATATCCCTAAGCTGGTCAAAACTAACTAGGAATTGCATAATAACAACAACAGCTGATTAATTAGCCAAAACTACTTGACCCATTGAGTACTTATGCGGCTTTAAGGATTATGAAAGTTTCTCTATTTCAACGCTTGTTGTTTTCCAACTCCAATTTAGTTTTTTTTCGATATTCAAATGAGGCTATTCAAAAGCGAGGCAAACTCATTCATAAGGTTCATTCAGCTTCCTCGGATTTTGTGGCAACTCATTAACAACAGAAGAGAAGAGATGGGGAGAAGAAAAAGTAGCTTAAAGTACAGATAATGTTGCCATCTATACACATGTCTGTTAACAATAAGGCCTGCCCCTTCTGCCTCCCTAAAATCTGACTTGGCTTCTTTTAGCCATTTCATTGTTGACACTATCCGGAGTCGCGGATCTGTCCTGTCATAATTGTTGCTCACTGGTTTTCTGTAACAGCTTTTGCTCTTATTTTGGCCTTAAGATGACCTTTTAGTGGGTAGTCAGGCGAGGAGTTAGATTAGAGACTAGTTTGCTTTAGAAAAATAGATTCTCTTTAAGTTTTAGTTTAATTTTATCATTGAAATTATTGAAACTGTTCTTAAATTTGATATTTATAGTGTTGGTAAACGTTTTGTGAAGCAGTTTTGGGTCTTGTTTTCAGTTTAAGATGAACTTTGAGTGGAAAGTCATAGGTAGATTTAGTTTTGATTGATTTTTCTTTAGGCCTAAGTTGAAGGTTTGCTATTAAAGTACTAAAAACTTTACTTGGCGTCAGTACATACAGTGTTGGTAAAGGTTTTGTGAAGAAGCTTTTGCTCTCTTTTGAGTTTAAGTTTGCTTTTTGGTAGAAATTCATGTTGGAGTTAGTTTGTATATTAGTTTTCTATAGAAAATATATTTTCTTTCAGTTTTAGTGTTAAGTTGCTAAGGAAATAGTAAAAACTGTACTCAGGTTTGACATTGACAATGTTGATAAACGTTTTGAGAAGCAGTTCTGAAGAAATTTAACTACAGAAGGATATATTATAAGTTTTAAGGTGAAAATTTCTATTCAAATTCATAGTTTAGTGTAAGTAAAATCAAAATTCGGAATAAAATTTGAATATGATTTGAAATTGAAAATCTCTTTCACCGGATACAAACCAACCTTCCCAACATTTTCTCAATCAGCATTCGGCTTCTTTATTATTTTTTCTTTTCTTTTTTTTTCGCGTCGGCAACAATTTAAACTAATTAAGTTGTAATAAAGCACTCAAGAAAACGCTCAAAAAAAAAAAGAAACAAAAATGATTAACCAGGCGAGTTTTGCTTGTTCAATATTTTCTGTGCTCTTTTCCCTACTGTTTTCTAGCGGCGTTGGAAAAGAGAAAAAAAATTATACAAGCATCCAATCGAAATGATGGCCCCCTCCTCACCTCGTTGATGATGCTGCTAATTTTTCAGAGCGAACCGAACTTCAACCAATTTTGATTTTTTTCCCCCCAACTATTTGCTGTACTTTTTTGGGTGCCTTTTTTTGAAGTTCACCAAAAGCGTTTGCGGCGGCGGTGTATGGTCTTAGCCTGGTCTATTAGTTCAGTGGCCCATTAATGTGCATATTGCCTGCTCGTTTTCGGACTCTCTTTTGGTTGATTTCATGATTGCGGTAATTGTGTTAATTTTTTGGGTAAATAAGTTTGAAAAGGTGAGGGTTGAGGGGGTTATGCATTTAGTTGGTAGCCCGATTGGGGTCAGTTGGAAATTGCAGGCTAAATTGTGGCAAATTAGGCAGGAAATCAATGTTAAAAGGGAGTTATGGTTTAAAAAGTATAACATTTGCATGTTAGATTTTTTAATAAATATTTTTAAGTTTTTAGGGACATCTAGAGTAACCTTAGCTCCTCTCTTCAAAGCAGCTTAACTTTTAGTATATCATAGCCCCTCGAATCAAGCCACCCAACATTCGTCATCGTAGTTTTCCTATATTTTCTAACAAATTTCCTACAACAACCTAAAAGAAAATGTGTGACTCGGACTCTGGAGATAGTACCTCCTCGCAATCCTCCTACATATCCCGCTCATCATCCTCTTCCTCTCGACTGAGTGAGTTTGTGGATGCCAAGACGGAGCTGCAGGAGATCTACCATGACATGAGTAACTACCTATCCAGTTTTCTAACCATCATAGAAGAAAGTGTTCTTCTGAAAGATCTCCAAATGCTAGATCAACTTAACATCTTCACCAGCAAAGTAGAAGCCATAGAGAAGGTTCTCTCAAGGAATCGCATGAAGGTGGCTTTCTTTGGTAGGACCTCAAATGGCAAGAGTGCCGTGATCAATGCCTTGTTGCATGAGAAGATCCTGCCCAGTGCCATGGGTCATACAACCAGTTGTTTTTGTCAGGTCCAGGCTAATAGCACAGATGAAGCAGAGCACTTGAAGATCGAAGAGGAGGAGCAGCATTTGGAGTTGAGTGCTCTACAGGACCTGGCTAGTGCACATTCTCCGAGGGCACTAAAGCCCAGGACACTGTTGCATGTAAATATGCCCAGGAGTCGCTGTGCCCTCTTAGATTACGATGTGGTTTTAATGGACACACCTGGCGTGGATGTCACAGCTCAAATGGATGACTGCCTGGACAACTATTGCATGGATGCGGATGTCTTTATTCTGGTTCTCAATGCAGAGTCCACTGTATCTCGTGTGGAGAAGCAGTTCTTTAAAGAAGTAGCCTCCAAGCTCTCACGTCCCAATCTCTTTATACTAAACAATCGCTGGGATGTGGCCAGCAGTCAGGAGCCGGATATGGAGGTTCAGGTTAAGGATCAGCATGAAGGAACGCTGTCTCAACCTGCTCATAGAAGAGCTGGGGGTTTATTCTAGTGAAGAGCAAGCCAGGCGTAGGATATATCATGTCTCAGCCTTGGAGGCCTTACAGTTGAGAAACGGTCGCAATAAGAATCCCTCGCCGCAGACTCAAGAGCGGTATCTGGAGTTTCAGCGATTCGAAAATGATTTTTCCAACTGCCTTGCGGAGTCTGCTCTGAAGACCAAGTTTGGTCAGCACTTACTAAGTGCCCAGGAGATTTTAAACCAGTTAGAAGCCACTTTGATAGCTCCTTTGATAGCTAAAGTTACTAAACTAATGAGGGATAGTGAGCAGAGAAGATCAGAGTTGTATTTGGAAATGCACGATCGGGGAAGGCAAATAGAAAAGACGAGGGAAGAGCTGCAATTCCGTTGCCAGAATTTAGATGAACTGACTCTGAGCTTAAGTCATTGGGTTCTAAAGGAACAGATCAACAAGATTGTTCCCTCAGCCGTGGAGTCCTTTAAGCATTCGTTCTGTACTCACATCCCAATGCACCTTATCCACTACCAACGGGCCTTGAGTGCCCATTTGGATGCCCACCTAACGAATAGATTCGTGGAATGTCTATCCTTGCCCCTGCAGGTTAGGCTATGCCAATTGGAGATGGATTTCAAGGGTGAGGCGACGGAGGAAGCTCTTCGATGGCAGCTCATCTACAACTTGAATTGTCATTCCTATATGGGTGACTTTCAGCCGGATCTGAGGTTTCGATTCTCGTGGGGAATAGCTGCCCTGTGGCATCGTGTTCGTGGGATGCTGTCACTGCCCTCCAACTCAGTTCAGAATCGCAAGTTACTCAATGGCCACAAGGAAGCACCACCTCCGGCACCTCTCATCCACCAAAATCATTTCCAAATGATAGCATCTCTGGTTAAGTCCGAAGGTTGTCTTGGAACCTTGTTAGTAGGTGGCCTGGCAGTTCGTTCCGTGAACTGGTTAACCATCTTGATCCTTGGAGGCCTTGTGGGTTCTGTATACCTCTACGAGCTGTTCAGTTGGACGCCAGCGGCTCAAGAGCGCAGCTTTAGGAGTCAGTACACCAAACACTTGCAACAGCAACTCCGAGCGGATGTGCAACAAACAGCGAATGGGTTTGAACTCCAAATGAGGCAACAGCTGGCCAAAGTCCAAAACTGGTGGATAGCCGAGGCGGAGGAGTTTTCCAATGACCTGGACTTGAGAACCTCGGAGCTGACCAAGCAATTAAAATCGATGGAGGAGTTGCAGCTGAACCTGAAGAAGTTTAGGGGCAAAGGAAATCTGCTGGCCATAAGATTGGGAGAATTTCAAGAGCTCTACTTAAGCGGTAGAGGATGAAAGTTTTTGAGGAAGTTATAGGAAAATTTAGAAGGCCTTTTTGGGATAATTTTAAATTTGTTTGGTTTTTGTTCAAGTTTTTATTTTGTTTTATTTTAAATTTATATTTTGACTACTAGTAAATTATCTTTTAAAAGACTTTCTTGATAGTTTTTTATACTCGCTTTACCCAAAAAGTCAAGCTTTTTTGGGTTCTTCTTTCAAGCCCGAGCAAGGCAATCTTAGCCATGCAAATTTAAGCAGTTTTTATTGCTGTTGACTGTTTGAATTACTTGATTAGATTGTTTTTTCTTCCTCTTGATGGCTCACACACACACTCGCACATACTGACAAGCCGAGATACATGCACATGCTGGGAATAAGAACAAGAGAACCAGTTTTGACTTCTTTTTTTTTGTGTGGCAGACTTACGGCTTAAACAAAGCGTCCATATTGAAGCGGCCAAAAGCAAAAGTACAACAAAATACAGACTCGCACACATACATAAAAAAAACAACCAAGCTGAACTACAAGCTCCGCCCATTGCTCACACACATACACAAGGCAAGCGAGTGCGCATGAACAAAGGCAGCTCAAAACGGGGAGGAAGTTAATACGGTTGTTTCGCTCGCACTTAGGCTCTGGCAGCGACTTGAGAGCGCCATTTCTCTTGCGCCGCTGCCGACGCTGGCAGCGATGGCGGAGCAGCGACAGCGGCAGAGACCGGAGCAGCGTTTTAGAATCGTATTTGAATTTTTATAAACGCTCGAGAAACGTTGGACGCTTGACGCGCGCGCAGAAAAATCGAATAAGGGTATTAAGATATATATCTATATATATATATATATATAGGGAGAAAAAATACAGGCACCGTACTCGTGGGCGTGGACAAGAGAGAAAGAAAAAAGGACTCTGCTGTGGCGAAAATTCGTTAACAACTTTGTGAGCCCGGCAAAGGTGACGCGGCATTCCGAATCGACAGTTCAAATCGCTCGTTCTGGCCAAGTCAAGTGTTTCGGCTTATTTCCAACGCCCAATTAGATGATTTCCACAAAAAAGTTCTCATCATAATTCAAAACCTAAAACTGTGTCAAATATTAATAACAATTTTTCAAAACTATTACGCGTCTGCCAAAAAAATATATCTAACAAAAACAAAAGTGAAAGTTACCAAACCATAAAAAAGTACATGCTCAAGTGGTGACCATTGTGCGATTCTAAAAAAAACCCCCCCAACAATAACCAAAAGGCATTGCAAAATAACTTAAACCCATTTTCCACACATACAATCGAATTGTGCAAAGCTAAAAAAAGAGCTAAGAAAAAACGAAGAAATAAAAAAAATAAAGCCAAGACAATACAAGTCTGTCTGCAACGGAAACGGCAATATCGAAGTTGCGATTGGAAGTTGCTTTTGCTTTTGCTTTTGGCCATTGTTGATTCTGCAACATTTTGGCTGTCAAAACGTTACATAATTGTCAAAGTGTTTGGCCAAATATCAACAACAATCAGCGCTTTATTGCAACAATTTTTGTTCAATCTCAGCACACAAAAGGCAACATAAAAACCAGCCCAAGACACCTTTGACTTTGGCTAGGCGTTTGCTGTGTGTTTCTTGGATTATAAACACCAATATATCACAGATACCGAACTGCGTCATCGTTGCAGCATCTTTTCAACTAACAAAAAGGTTCGTAATGTTTTAGTTTTGGGTTTGTAGGTAGGGCTGTGGTTTAGGATTTAGTAAGGGTTTTAATGATACAAAAACTTGGGGCCCTGCGAGGGGCATAGTTCTTGTTGAAAGGGAAGAGTTAATCTTCTTGGGCTTCCCTTGTTCTGAGTTACTTAATTCATAAGAAAAACTTGTAGATGGTTCTAGAATGGTTGAGTTTCTTTAGTTACTAAATAACCCTACTGTACTTTCTAGTGTCCAACTTAGTTTCCATCCTCTTAAACCCCTTTTCACTTTACTGCTTACAATAATTCGTAGAAAACCGATTACCTCAAGTATTTTCTTCTTATTATCCTCCAGAAATACAACCAATAAAAGCCCCATTCAAGCCTTCGATTAGTCTTATAACTTATGCAAACATTTATCCTTTTATCACCCCCAAAAAAACCACCAATAAATACAACCCCAAGAACATATCAAGTAGCCGTCGGTGTTTAGTGCTCAATCAACCCCATTAGCGGCTCCATTACGCGACTCTCCCACAGTAATCCCTTCTTCCTTCCTTCCGAAACCAACTTCCTGAAAAGGTAACCAAAAATTTGACTATCTACACCTTCAGATATGTGGTTGGTCAAACAATGGTTGGCCCCCATCAACGCCTCTCTCTTTGCGCCTTGTCGCCTAATTGCCGGTGACAGTTGACAGTTGCTCCTGACCAAGCCTGGACAAGAAAACAAAGACCAAGCTGAATAATATTTTCGTTGTCGTTTTGGGCCACAATGCGAGCTGGTTGTAAACCCACCAAACCAGAGACAAACAATCAGCCCAAAAAGACCAAAAACGATAAGTAAACATTTTCGAAAACCCACACGAACGCTGCATACCAGAAATTAACGGACCACGAACTGTTACCAAAAGGGAGAACCCTAAAATAACAGGGCTATATAAGGCCAGCAAGCCGAAAAAAAAACATGGCCAGAACAGAACGCAGAACACAGAACACAGAACACTATAAAGGTCCAAAATGGTTGCGATGGAAATTGGAAAAGCTGAAGTTGGGTGGGAGCGAATGTGTTTTGTAACCAATCGTAAGAATAACAAAGCATTTCGTAGGATTGTGTTGGCCAGGCCAAGAGAACCAAAAACTGTTCCATCTGCGTTGTTTATTCTAATTTTTTGACCCGACTCAAGTGGCCAAAGCAAAGGTCGTCTTGGTCGTCGTCGTCGTCTCCGTCACACCACTTGAGTATTCCCTCACTTTTTCGACCAAGTTGCGCCCTCTTTTCAGCCTTTATTTTTTTCGGGTTTTCGTTGGGTTGGCTTTATCTAGATGTGGTGTGTTTGCCCACGTTTTGGGTCGGGGTTTTCCTCTTCGTGGAACTCGATTCGATGTTAAGTAGTAATTTTCTGATAATGTCCAATACCCCCCACCCACACCCACTTACTATAGTTCTTGACTTGGATTTTCCTAAGAATTTCCAATGCAAATATTTGGCTGCTATCAATATTTGACCAGGAATCAAATTGTTGTCTAAGCAACTCCATTGTAAGTGATATACTTGAGGTTAGCCTGGGTTAGTTAGTGTTTAGTTTGAGATATCTGTGGAGCTGTCAAAACTGATCATCAATTAGGTGGAGGATGATGATGGGGCAGCAGGGAGCTTGGGAAATCGTTCATTTATTGCAATATTTTTCAGCTGCTTCCGTCAGACGGCTTGAGTGAAGGAGATCTCTCAGAGATCACGTTTTTATGATTATGATTAATGATCCCAGGCAGCTTCACTGACTCTAGTTACTGTGTCCAGTCTCTGATCTCTCCGCGTTGATCTTATGGAGTTGCTACTGTTTTGGAACGCTGCTCCTTGTTTACCTTTATCCTTGGTTTTCTCCGGAGATTTTGGGCCTTCAAATTGCTTTTGTAGCAGAAAATTGATCACTCTCTGGGGAGTTGAGAAGCAGTGTAGGAGAAAGTATACCATAAAAAGCAAGCCTGGCTTCGTATACAAATGATCAAAATATTTTCCTATACTTTCTATGCTTTGATAGGGCCACAAAGATCTTGACTCTGGGGGGTTCTACTCCAAGGGGATTGCCGTTTGTTTGGTATAAATATTTGTGGGCTATCAAAAGATAGGATTGTTGTTTAAGGAATTATTATAATGAAAAGAAGAAATTCTTGGTAACAGAAAAGGGAGGGTTGGTAGTTATCAAAACAATATATAAGCAGTAATATTCTTAATAATAGTTGGGTTTAGATCTCTTACAAGGAAAAGATGAAATATTAGGGTTAAATACTTTGATGTATAGATACTAAAATGTATTAACTTGGCTTAAGTTGAGTTAATGCATACAAGAAATGGAATTTCCATTAACTTAACCCTACTAAACGAAACTCATTAAGCTTAGATTCATAAATTAAGCTAGTATATAGACCAAACCAGAACTAAGATACAAACAATCTATCGAGGACTACCTTTAAAACGCATTTTGCTTTTTTCTTTCCCTCAGGTGAATACATTCGCTTGCCCCTGGATGAGTTGTTGAACGACGTACTCAAGCTCTCTGAATTCCCGCTCGAAGACGAGGTAAGTCCAATCTACAACCATTTACTCTTTAGGAAGTATCTTACAAATACGAACCCAATCCTTTAGTTAACCAACGATCCAGTGGCCTCCACTTCTCAAGCAGCTGCTGCATTGAACGAGAACCAAGCCCAACGTGTTGTATCTGAAACTGGTGAGGATTTCCTCAGTGGCGAGGTCGTACCCAACAAGCGCGGTAGAGTCGGAGTAGAGGACAAGGATAACGATCCGGAGAAGGCTGACGGAGATAGCTTCTCGGTGAGCGACTTCGAGGATCTACAAAACTCTGTGGGCTCGCCCCTGTTTGACTTAGATGAGGACGCCAAGAAGGAGCTAGACGAGATGTTGCAATCCACGGCTCCACCCTACCATCACCCCCATCCGCATCATGGCCATCATCCCCATGCCCATCCACATAGCCACCATCATGCAACGATGCACCATGCCCATGCCCATCATGCCGCTGCTGCAGCTGCCGCCCACCAAAGGGCCGTTCAGCAGGCCAACTATGGCGGTGGCGTTGGCGTGGGCGTTGGCGTCGGTGTCGGTGTGGGCGTGGGTAGCGGCACGGGAAGCGCCTTCCAGAGGCAGCCAGCTGCCAGCGGATTCCATCATGGCCATCACCAGGTATGTTGTTCTGCATCGATCGTAATCCTCCCCACAAAGCCAGGGAGAAAAAAAAGGTATATTTATTTATAATTTGATGCGGATGCTCGGTTCAAGTGCTGCCATCCGTCGAGCGCTCCACATACTTACATGGGTACACATGTACACACCTTGGCAAACGTGAGTGTGGTAGTACAGCTGCGGTCAGAAGAATAGGGCCATGTGGGTTTAAGAACTGGAGAGATATTTTATGTTTAAAGTTTCTTTGAATTTTGTTGTTTAAAGTTTATGTTGCATTTTTTTTTAGAGATAAATAGCATATTTTTTTTAAGTTTCTTAATATTTAAGACCTATATCTTGACCCCAGCTGTACATAACTGCTATGTGGTATATACATATGTAATCATTGAAGGATCATTTGCACGTCGCTTTCGTTGTTCTTCTCGTTTTCTGGAGTGGCTCTTTTCACTGTTCAGTTTGGTATTCCTTCTTCGTGATCTACCTTCTGCCTTCCATTTCTTCTCGTTCTTCTTCTTCTCCTCCTCCCCCCTCTCTTTTCGTGGGGTGTTCTCAAGCACTTGATCTTGGTGCTGCTCTCTTCAAGAGTCGCTATGGTTGTTGGTGTTGCTGTTTGCTGTTTGTACAAAGCTTCAAATCTGGTTGTACATGCCTCCTCACCTTGCCCCCAAAAAGTCCCTCATTTTATTCAGTTTCCACACAGCCACAAGTTCGTCAATCAAGACCTTCTTCTCGGGCCTCTCTTCCCGGGGCACTCTTCATTCTTCACTCACATTTTCAGCCGTTTCTTGGCATTCTGTTTTTTTGTTGTTATGTTATTATAATTTTTTGGCTTTTGTTGTAACTGCTCATAAAAAATGTACGAGAACAGCAACAAAAATGCGAGCAATGTTAAGATATATATACTATATATATATATATATATTTCGAGGTATAACTTGTAGTCTCCCATTTTGGTTTTGTGCCTCGTCTGAGCTGCTCTTCAGATTTTTGTTAAGTTTTCTAAAGATTTTTCTTAACCCGTTTTTCTCTCTCACTCTCTGCTTGTGTTTACTTAGCAGTTGTTTTCGTTATTTTCGGTCTTGTTTTGCAGCTTTTGGTTAGTTTGTGATTCATTTTGCTTAAACAAGATTTGAAAATGATTTTTTTAAGACATTTTATGGTTATATACCATAAAGAAATCTTTAGTTAATCTCCTCCTATAAATATCTTCTACCAAATCCCTTCTCATTCGCAAATTTTCTACACCACCGATCAGAACCAATAAAACTAATCCGCCGCAAGTCTAAAACCAAACAAGTGCTTCCTGAATGAAACCCAAGACTGTGTACAACCTTTGACCTGCCTGGTTTTGTTACCCAAAAGAAAAAAGAGACAGCTATACTGTTGACAAAAGAGACGGGACCATATAGAGGCCGAGGCAGTCATGAAGTCAGCGGCAATTACCGTAAAGTCTTTTTTCCCCGGTAGCAAACTCATAAACCCGCTACACCACACCTTATCCAAAAAGAAAATAGAAGAAAAACCACAGCGGTCAGCCTGGTTGGTGGATTAGGCTTAGTCCGGCGTGTTTGATGTGCTACCACTGCACTAACCTGCAGTTTTTGTGAATGCCAGCGGGGTTGCCGGCTCGGCACTTGCCAAAGCCATTTAATGAGCCAGATGATCGGTTATTCGCAAAGGATTCTCTAGAACTGCGACTGTCGGCTAAATCCTTTTGCCGACTCTCTAAGGGGCGATTTTCTTGGCATATACCGTTAAACGGAAAATGTCATTAGGCGGCTTTTGAGCTTTGTTTTTCCAGCATTTTCTTCACTTGATCCTAGCGCTGCGAATAATCATTATGCAACTTCCTGATCACATTTAATTTGCCATTTGCATTCATTGATGATGCGCTGCAAGGCATGTGCCTACCTGGCAGGTCTCAGGTGTCGTTATGGCAAGCTATGCACGGCGAGAAAACTAATGTTGTTAGGTAGTTTGATTGATTTTAAAGGATATTTTGGAATTCATTCATGTTTTAAAGTTATAAAACACAATATTTTAATGAGTAATTATACAGTATAGCCTGCTGTACCTCTAAGAAAGACTTTTTCTCTTCGTGTATCTCCTGCTAATTGCAATCACTAAGCTAAGCTCTTGAGGCACGTAGTGCAAAGTGTAAAGTGGGGAGGTGTCTCGCTGGAAGGGAGGCGCCTGCGTTCATTACGGACACTTTGTTGTTGATTTTTTGCTCGGGGCTTTTGTTTTTTGTTCGTTTTTTGTGTCGCTTGCAATGCGCCACTTGACTTTTCCGCATGGGGCCGAAGTGTTTATTGAATTCGGTGGCACTTTGCAGCGTTGCCTGCCCCTGTCTCTCTGCCCCTTCGGTGGTTTACCCCCTCTCAACTTGATTGCATCTTTTGAGCCGCTCGACGGCGGTAGCCCCTGCAATTAAATCCCCATTTAGCGCGCGCGAATTACAAAAAAATTTATCTCTTAATGTCCGTCCCTTGCCATTGCCCCCTCCGACCCCCTTTAATCGCCCTCTGCTCTCAGCTTTAATTATGTGAATTTTAAATATTTGCAAAAAGCTTAACGCTGAAAAATCAGCGCAGCACCAGAGAGAAAAAAAACAATTTTTTATTAATTATTTTACAGCATCTCTGTTTTGCTTCGATGTTGTTTTTTCTCTGTTTTTTTGCTGTACGATTTTAATTCAATTTATGTAAACAGTTGGATGGCTGCGGAGGCTTAAGTTGCGACTCGAACTGAGAAACTCAGACTGCGACTGTCATGGGAGGGGGACTTGCGATTTGTGGACAAAACTCACATAAATCAAGTTAATGACAAAAAACACACGAAACTATGTGATGGTAGGGGGGTGTAGAGGGGACTTGCTGGGCCGTTGGCAACAGGGACTAAATTAAGCCATAGAATATAGTCGTTGACGTGGTTAGAGATCGGTGATTCCCGTTGTGCCAAAGATGGTTTGAGGATTTCCTAGAAATATGTTTAACAAATATTGAAAATAATGAGCTTGTTTTGCAGTCTGAACAACGATTTTGGAAGAGCTTTGAGTTTATTAATCAAAAATGTATTTTTTATACTAAATGCACTTGTAGTTGAGTTTGTTTGTTAATCGTTTTCATGTTAAACAGCGATTGGGATGAAAAATTGCCTTGCATTAAATATGTTTTGTAAAAGTTTATTAAAAATAATGATTAAACTTTAAGGTGGTCTTTGGTTGATTCATAAAAAGTTATTAATTGTTTTAAAAATGGGAAAATAAACAAAAAAGGAAACTAGAATTTGTACTTCCCTCTAAGCCCATTTGTAGTTTCAAAAGCCGCTTTAGTTTATTGTCCTAATCTAGCGGAACCTACATGACAACCATTAATGGGATCGACAGTAATGAAATGCTCTTAAATTATAGTAATTCCCCTATCAAATATGCAATCTAATGCATCTTCCTTCACTGTAACGGTTGAGGTGGAATTAGAGGTTCCAAAGAACAGATTCTTGAGGGGCACACAGACAGCAGAAAACCCCCTAGACGATCGCTACATATATGTACCGATCAATATATGTATGTGCGGAGCAAAGAGATATCGGCTACCGTGTCTAAGTTGGCGGTTGGATTTGTTTGCGTGTGAAGCGTAACAAACAATGGCCAACACCAGAAGTTAATGACAAGACAGTGACAATTCAAATTACACATGCGCATTGCGCGCACACTCAGACACACACACACAGATACAGATACACAAAGATACAAGAAATGCCTGCAACTGGCTAAAGTGAACGCCCAATGCTCGTCGCTGGCTCCTACCTGCCTCGTCGCCTCTTACCTGTATTTGCGTTCAGGAGCGTGTTGAGGCATTCATTAGATACACATGGGCATGCGGTTTGAGATACTACTATACAGGTTGTTTGTTCAGCCCTCACTCATACATCTACAAGTGCATCCATCTCGTAGTATCTGTGTGTGTGTGAGTTGCCTTGGCTACTGTCATTCCGTCAGTCAGTCAGTTGGTGCTGGTCAAACGACAACTCAACGTCAACGCGCAAAGGAGTTCGATCTCCCAAATCCAGAATTCTTTTGTCGGAATTTATTGTTCGTTTCGATTTTTCGTTTGCGATCCATATCGGCAATGTCAGTGTCAAAGTGCATCAGCATCAACGTCAGCCAGATATAGGTGTATAGTATCTCTCATCTCTGAAAGATCTTAATTGCACGTCGGCATTTAGCGTTTAAGAAACAAATTGGTGCCGGCAAAAGGAATCGATAAAGGATCGCAGTTCGGGGAATATTTCATGTTCGCAAGTGTGAGTGATGAATATAGTGATATATAAGGATATACGAGGTGTGTTCAAAAAGTAAGGTGACTTTTCAAATTTCTCGGGCAACATATTTTCGATTATCGTTTTTTTTGTTTTGTTATATTGGTACACTCTTCCCTAACATCTGTACCAAGTTTCAATGGAACATCCTCTTTTGTTTGGTTGTGAGAGGCGTAAAGTTACAAGTTGTTTTGCGAGCTCGGCGATTTTTTGCTTTTTTCGGTCTTGGCTCGTCTGGGCTCTTCCATTGGGACGATTGGGCTTTGGTTTCGATATCATAACCATATACCCATGATTCGTCACCAGTTATGACCCTTTTGAGTAAATCTGGGTCGTCGTTGACGTCATTCAACAGCTCTTGAGCGATGCTCATGCGACGGTTCTTTTGCTCAAAATTCAGCAATTTCGGAACAAACTTCGCTGCACACGACTCATACCCAAAACGTTTGAAAAAATTTCATGCCACGAGCCAAGCGATATACCGACATCTTCAGCAACTTCTCTGATAGTGATTCGACGATTTTCCAAAACAATTTTCGTCACTGCTTGAACGTTTTCATCAGTTGTTGACGTGCTTGGGCGTCCAGAGCGAGGCTGGTCATTGGCATCTTCCCGGCCATCTTGGAAGAGTTTGTACCACTTGTACACATTTTTTTTACTCAGAACAGTTTCACCGTATGCCACTGTCAACATTTCAAGTGTTTCAGAGCACTTAATTTTATTTTTTACACAAAATTTGATGCAAATCCTTTGATCCATATTTTTCGATAGCAAAAAATCGCCGAGCTCGCAAAACAACTTGTAACTTTACGCCTCTCACAACCAAACAAAAGAGGATGTTCCATTGAAACTTGGTACAGATGTTAGGGAAGAGTGTACCAATATAACAAAACAAAAAAAACGATAATCGAAAATATGTTGCCCGAGAAATTTGAAAAGTCACCTTACTTTTTGAACACACCTCGTATATAGTAATATAAAGGGATATATAATATATAAAACCTTTACCATATACGCCCACGCTTTGGCTGGCGGAATTAGTTGAATAAATAAATAAACCCACCGGTAATTAACAATAACAAAAGGCAGCCTAATGAAGTCGTAGTAGTAGTCGTCGTCTCACGATTCCCCACCAGCAGCAGACCAGCCCAAGATGCCTGCAAGACTTACAGAGCCGGGCCAGAGAGGAGTCTTAGGAAAACAAAAAACAAAAATAAAACTGGCCAAGAGACCGCTGGCTGAGCTGCTGCGAGCACCCCGAGCACTTGTCAATTTGAAAGATACGAATTTCATTTCAATTCCACATTGATCGATCTGGCAGTCAAATCGCCAGACCGATACATTGTGCACGTTTTTTGGCTTACTACAACAGCAACAGCAACAACAACAGCAACATCAGAGTGTTACCAAGTTGAAGTTGAAGCCGCAGTCGAAGTCAAAGTCTCTGAGACTCTGACAGCCAAGAGATTGTTACTTGTAGCGCAATTTGAATTTGGTTTTTATTGTCTGGCCGGGTTTCTAGAGAATTCCCCTGGCGGATGATTGATCGGTTATTGAGTTATAAGTTTCGTAATTCCGAACCCTTCTCACCTTGTTAATACATCAACGCGGCTAAGCGACGAGCGCCGTATTAATCAATGTCTTTAACCAACCGTCTTCTTGTTCTTCTCTCTACTTGCAGGGCCGCATGACGCGTCTGAATCGCAGCGTTTCGATGGAGCGTCTTCAGGACTTTGCCACCTACTTCAGTCCCATTCCAAGCATGGTGGGCGGGGTATCGGATATGTCACCATATCCTCATCACTATCCCGGTTATTCATATCAGGCGAGTCCCTCGAATGGAGCTCCAGGAACACCTGGCCAGCATGGTCAGTATGGTAGTGGCGCCACTGCTGCCTTGCAGCCACCACCACCACCGCCGCCACATCATGCGGCCATGTTGCATCATCCGAATGCCCCCTTGGGCGACATCTGCCCCACTGGCCAGCCCCACTATGGACACAATCTTGGTTCCGCTGTTACTTCGAGTATGCATTTGACCAACTCCAGTCATGAGGCCGACGGAGCAGCCGCCGCTGCTGCCGCTTACAAGGTGGAGCACGATCTTATGTACTACTCGGTGAGTAATATAAATATTATAAAATATCGTTATAAAGCATTCTATAACTTTCTTTTAATTACCTTTAGAACACCTCTTCGGACATTAACCAAACGGATGGCTTTATCAACTCCATTTTCACCGATGAGGATCTGCACTTGATGGACATGAATGAGAGTAAGTTTTAAAAGTTATTTATTCATCATGAATCCTGAAAAGAACGCTTTAGTGATGGACATCAAGATCAGCTAGCTAGAATTGTTTTTTTCTTTTACTATTTATAAAGAATTTTCATTTAAACAACTAAACATCAAACTAAGGGCAAACATTTCTCTCAGTGCCAAGCTTTCTGCTTGCCAAAAAGTTCTATTCAATTATTAATAAGCTTTTAGGTCCGTTAAGTGGAATGCGCATCGTTGACGAATTCCCCACCTACTAACTGAGAGCTTTGACTCGACAGACTCAAAGCAGAGACTCAGAACAGAGTCAAAAAAGCGCGTGCGCAAGCAGCGACAGAAAAAGTCACTCACTCGCTCACTCACATGCTCACTCGGCTTGTGAGCTTTTTTTACTGTTTATCGTTCTTGTGCGATTAGCATACAAATTTCGTACAATTAGTTCACAGTTTCGCGGGGTAGAAGAGAGTTGAAAGCGCTCAGGTTTCCCGATTGCCACTCGCTTTTAGACGACAAAAAGCAAAAATAATAACAATAAAAAATATAAAAAAAACAACTCACTCAAGAGGCAGGGCGAAAAGCAAAGCGAAAAGAACAGAGCGCGAGGCGAAGGCAAATCAGTCGAACACGAACAATCGAATACGATAGTAAAGTAAATATTAGAACCGACGCGACTCGAAAAAATAATTAAAAAAAAATATCTAAATATATATACATATAAGAGTGTATATACTATATAAATATAACAACGCGCAACGTGCCGTTTACCTAATGTAATTAGCATAACCAATTTGATAATATTATGACGCATTTGCCAGCAGTGTAGAATATATCACAGATATATATGTATATATACATATACCTATATCAGTTTGCTCAGTGAGTTTAATTTGGTGGATGCCGAGCGTTTTAGCAGCATCCCAAAAACGGTGAAAGCAATTCAACAGGTGAGAGTGATCAGAGAAATAGCATAGCATAGTGCTCTGGATCGGTTTTTTTTGTGTTAGGGTGGTTCTGCATATGTTATTTTCGGGTACAACTGTGCTAAAAAAAAAGAAGAGCAAAAGCCCTCTAAAATCATTTTTTTTTGTACTTGTGACCGCGTAACAATTTTTTCATTAGTCATGCCGCACGGCGATCTTTGTTGCTGTTTTTCTGATTCTGATATCAGCAGAACGTTCTCTCTCCCTCTCTCGAGCGGTTTTTTCTTCTATAGAACTTCTCCCTCTCTTGCCCGCTGCCGCCTAATGCCCGCTCAGCAAGTTTTTTTTTTATTATTTGCCCGCCTGTTTGCTGTTTACTATTTTTAAACTGCTGAGTCATCGCTTTTCGAAACAATAACGTTAAAAAAAGCTCAAAGAGCGATAGAGGAGAGTCATATGCATAGTTTGCTAATATCTTAACAGGGCATTGGGAATTATAAGGGGTTGCTGCGGACTTATTGATATTACTGAAACAAAGACGTTCTCAATTTTTGATTTTTGTATTATTTTCACATACGGTTTCTGTTTCTGTTGCTGTTTTTTTTTTGCACATCATGAAACGTGTCACTGGCTTTAACGGTTATCTTTACGGTTTCCGTTATGTCTTGCTTTCGTCGCTGATAACTCTCCTGTTGGCGAACAGTGCACTTTCGTTACAGCGAAAAAGCAATGTCTAACTTTTGGGCTAATTAGAAAACCCTTTTTGGTTATCAGTAAATGGAAAACAAACTAAAAATCCAATCTTTTATTTTGATTATAAAGAAACACATTCAAGTTCATAATGACTAGAAAAGTGTTAGGAAAAGTTTCAACAAAGATTAGGCTTATCAATATTCAAAAGTATGGAGAATAATAATTTGGCTTGTTTATAAAACAAACACTTTTCATTTTAAAGAGCGTGAACCGTACACTCATCTACACTTCGTGCCCCATACAAAGTATCGCATTTTGTCAAGTCATCAATGTTTATGGTTTAAGCTTTGACCTTGCTCCCATAGGGTATAAATACATGAGAGCTCGCCCCAATCAGCTTACGAATTGATTTGACTAATTAACTGCAGGCGCGCAATATGTGAGATTGCACATAGAGATTACGTGTACGACTATATATTTTCTAAGACTAAAATAACCATAAACCTCTTTTGGGCGTGTCATTTTTTTATTTTTCTCTTCGCATGGACTGTGATTAGATATAGTGAGTAGATGATCTGGCTGACTTTTAATCAGGAAGGTGCCACAAAGATGTGGAAATGTGGCCAGGTACATATTTGCGAAACAGCGAAAAAACAACAACAAAAATAATGTAGGAGACGTACACGAGCCGCTCCTCATACTAACACACACGCGCATACAGTCAGTCCTTATCGCACGGATAAGATAAGTCCAGCAGTGAAATATGGAAAATGACTGAACAGTTTTTTCAGTACATATTCTTCTCCTCGTTCCGAACGGCCGGAATTCTAGTCATAAATTTGTGCTGAATAATCGAAGCTGCGAGTGATTCAAGACGTGCCTGGCGATAAGGGCGAAATCTCTAATGAAAACAGTCTACGTGAAGTGGGTCAGCCAAAAAATGAGTACTACTAGCTGAAGAACAAGTTCTATATCGATCGGTGGAAGGGGTAGATTAGGGGAATATTGCAAAACATCATACCATCATCAATTTACCTTTGATTATACCTATAAACTGATAGAGAACTTGTTGGGTTTAGGGGGTATGTACTTGAGTAGTTATAGTTATAGATTATAAATTAATTAAACCTTACTAACTAAACCCCTTCTCCCTCTTTACAGGCTTCTGTCGCATGGTGGACAACAGCACTAGCAACAACTCTTCGGTTCTGGGCTTGCCCAGCAGTGGACATGTTAGCAACGGCTCTGGCAGCTCGGCACATCTCGGGGCGGGAAATCCGCACGGTAACCAGGCTAACGGAGCTGCTGGCGGCGTTAACTCGATGAGCGGTTCAGCTGTGGGCACTGGAGCAGCGGGCATGACCGCTGATCTATTGGCCAGCGGTGGTGCAGGAGCTCAGGGCGGTGCGGATCGCTTGGACGCATCCAGCGATAGTGCTGTCAGTTCGATGGGTTCGGAGCGTGTGCCGTCCCTCTCCGACGGCGAATGGGGCGAGGGCAGTGACTCCGCCCAGGATTATCATCAGGGCAAATATGGCGGCCCCTACGACTTTAGCTACAACAACAATTCGCGGTTGAGTACCGCTACACGACAGCCGCCGGTGGCACAAAAGAAACATCAGCTGTATGGCAAGAGGGATCCCCACAAGCAGACGCCATCGGCTCTGCCACCCACGGTTCCACCAGCAGCTGCAACTGCAGTCCAATCGCAGAACATTAAGTACGAGTACGATGCTGGTTATGCCTCGTCGGGAATGGCCAGCAGTGGCATCAGCGAGCCAGGAGCAATGGGACCCGCTCTTACCAAGGACTACCATCATCACCAGGCCTACGGAATGGGAGCCAGTGGAAGTACCTTCTCCGCTGACTATAATGTTCGCCCATCGCCCAGAACTTCGCAGGATTTGGTGCAACTAAATCACACCTACTCGTTGCCCCAGGGAAGTGGCTCCCTGCCCAGACCCCAGGCTCGCGATAAGAAGCCTCTGGTGGCCACTAAGACCGCTTCGAAGGGATCGAGTGCCGGCAGCAGCAGCAGTGCCGGCGGTAGTAGCAGCAATATGGAGGATGAGCATCTGACACGCGATGAAAAGCGTGCCCGGTCTCTGAACATCCCAATTTCGGTTCAGGACATCATTAATCTGCCCATGGACGAGTTCAACGAGCGATTGTCCAAGTACGACCTAAGCGAGAACCAGTTGTCGTTGATCCGTGACATTCGTCGGCGGGGAAAGAACAAGGTTGCTGCCCAGAACTGCCGGAAACGCAAACTGGACCAGATCTTGACCCTTGAGGACGAGGTGAATGCCGTGGTCAAGCGCAAGACGCAGCTTAATCAGGATCGGGATCATTTGGAGAGCGAGCGCAAGCGCATCTCGAACAAGTTTGCCATGCTGCATCGTCATGTCTTCCAGGTGGGTTAAAACTAAAATATATTTATAGTTTGGAAAAAAAACTAATTCATGTATATATTTTTTAGTATCTTCGTGATCCTGAGGGTAATCCTTGCTCGCCGGCGGACTATAGTCTGCAGCAGGCTGCCGATGGATCCGTTTACTTGCTGCCTCGTGAAAATCCGAGGGCAACAGCACAGCCACGGCTGCCTCCAACGCAGTTTCGTCGGCTAGCGGTGGAAGCTTGAACGGCCATCTTCCCACTCAGGCGCCAATGCATGGCCATCATGGCCAACATGGTATGCAGGCGCAACATGTGGGCAGTGGAATGTCGCAGCAACAGCAGTCGAGGTTGCCGCCTCACCTGCAACAGCAGCAGCAGCAACAGCATCATCTGCAATCGCAGCAACAGCAACCGGGAGGTCAGCAGCAGCAGCAACATCGCAAGGAATGAAAGTACCTGTTGCGAATTGCCGCAACTAAGAGTTGGTTCACTAGCTTCCAGCGCGAGCAGCAGCATCGATCCGAGCAGCAGCAACATGATGAGCAGCAGCAACAGTTCGATTACCGCTACGACATGTTGAACAACAGTTACCTGTACTACTGAGCGGCGATTTGGTTATTCTTTATTCCGGTGTACTCTAGCTGCAACGTGTTGCTGGCAACGTGTTGCTGGCAACGTGTTGATGCACCTGCTGCTGTCGGCCCATTATGGAGCTGTCTCCATTCATCGCACCAATATCCTCCCATTTATGGTTTACTCATTTAGTCAGCATTGATTGTTATTTATTTTTTAATTAATTAATTATTTGAACTCGTCCAGAGTTCGTCTTGCAAGTTGTTGCCCCGTTCATGGAGTGCTAAAGCAAAGCCTTTTACTTAATTGCAATTACTAAAAGAGAAAAACGAAAAACAATACTTGTGATAAATCAGTTCTTCAACTATGAATTCTTGGCGCCCACAAAAAGTAAAAAAAAAAAAAGAAAAGCTGACAGAGAAATGCAGAGAGAGAAACAGATCCGAAATGAATGTAATCAAATATGCTTGAAATGAATTTGTAAATCAGAATCAGAACTAACATTCACAATCAAAACGCATCGTCCAACAATATTTGATGGTGAAATCGTTTACATCTCTATAATATTAGCTTGTAAAATATGAAAACAAATGTATAAATTAGATGTTAGGTACAACACACACACACACGCATACAAAACGATTGTAAAGGTTGGAAAATATTGCTGGACATTTTCATGAATAAGGCCCATAAGACACACTTAGCTGTAGGGTATCATCTAGTGAGAGATACATATATGTAAATCGTTCTAAATTTATAAGGCATTTATCAAAATCCCATTCACAAAAAAAAAAAAAAACACGAAAAGATAACACAAATTAGCGTATCACTTGGAGCTAGCACTTAGCCACTGTAAATACATAACTTAAACTTAGTTAACATTTAACCAACCAGCGCTAGGCTACAGCAACTAAGAGTGTGCTAAACACACTCCTCAAAGAAACTAAAGGAAAAACTAAAAAAAAAAAGGAAAATAAAGAAACGGAAAATAAGTTTAAAAGTTAAAACAATAGCTCTTGCTAGGGCGGCCCTTTAACTGTCCTGGTAATGGCTTAGTCGATAAGCGAGTAAGAGATATTAATATTTAATATTCTTAAACATGTCCTACAGCATAAAGAGTTTAACTTAAAACTAAGCAACAGCTATATGCCTAATGATAATACATAGATACAGATACGATATCAAACTTAAGAGAAACAAAAACAGATCCGCGCGATACGAAAACGAAACAAAAATCTATTGTTAATATAGGCATATGTATTTTAATTGTTGTAATGAATTTCGCGCAAATTTTGGAACTTCAAAACTAAAACTAAAACGAAATTCAATAAAAACAAAAGTGCGCAACTTCAGTAAAAGAAATTATTTGTTGTAAATTGAAATTGAACTAATTACGTAAAATGATGGTACTACTACGCCAACGTACGCATATAAAATACATTAAAAAGAAAGTAAAAACCCTTCGCATGTTCTATTAACATAAATTTTGATTAAAAAGAGTGTTTTTTGTGGAGCCTTTAACCGTCTCTGACAGGACACCTTTTGACCAATCCCCTGTACTTGTATGTCGCTATATATATATATTTGTGTATGTTTCATATGAGAAATTTGTATGCTTTAAAAATGATAAACTTTTCCTCAGCTAAACAAAGAAAACGTCAAAATTAAAGAAAAACCACTACAAAAATAAATCAAAAAGTACTTTCTACTTGGGGGTTTCCCATAACTTGGCATCTCTTTCAGAAATAAATTTGTGATTTACAAACTTATATAATCTTAATTAACACTCCTTAAAAACCCCAATTAAAACACATCAGTTAGTTTCTTTTCTTTCTTCATCTTAACTTATATTCTCCGTCTTTCATTTTCACAATCAGGGCAATGCTTAAATATAAACTTTATCAATCAATCAATCATTCACATACTCATACAATTTTATTGTCCACTCTCATTATGATAATTGAAGCTCTTGTTTTTGAAACAGTTTTTTATTGATTTAAAATGTACACTTTCCATCTCGTTGGAGTGAGTAAATATTATTAACAATTATCGGGGTAAAAGGGAATTCAGAATTCCGTTTAAATTTCATTTCAATTTACATTTTTACTGAGCTCTTTTAAAGTTTTCTATCGTTCTAATGGTCTAAGTTGCATCATTTTGGTTTTTCTTTTTTTCGTGGGTCTCTCACATCTTACTTTGCATTTTAATATCAAGTTGTAACTTAACTATAGTAAATTCAATACAAGTAAAGCTAACAACGTGAATCATTCAATCAACTTAGCCTATATACATATACATATCGTTTCAGGGTTAGATCTTATGGGTGGCACGCAATCAGATTGCCTCCACTTCAGCAGGAAACAGGGGGGTTTAGGGGCTTTTAGGGGTAGTTCACAGCTGCAGCAGCTCTATGGCTATGACAGATGAGCTCTCCTTGGAATCTCGCTTAGCTTAGTTTTTAGTTAGAATTATAGTGGGGAGCCTATGCATAACTAGAATACAACATCATTTAACTGACGGCTGAGGGGGGCATGGAAGCCACTCAATTAATAATATCAACAAATGGAATCGATGGGCAGCTGATCCTGCTTGATGCTCAGGCGACGTGGATTCGGCTTATGCCTACCACCACCACCATTGCCTCCTCCTGCGCCAGAGCCGGCCACAATGGTGATACCACCGCCGGGTCCGCTGGCAGCACTTCCTCCTCCGGCCAGCGTGCTCAAGCTGTTGTTATTGCTGTAGTTGCTGCTGTTTATGGAATTGCCGGAATTGGTCTTCTCATTAATACTGGATAGGTTGGGTATGCTGGGCGCCGTCGTCGTTATGGTCAGACCGCCCATTGTGAACGATGCGCCGTGCTTGTTGTTATTCAGCGGCTCCAGCTCGCTGGCCAGCACGCCGTTGGGTATGGAATGGGAGCGTATCTGCAGGCGGCCCGAGTCTAGCGATTCATCGCTTGCCGGATCCAGATGATCCACTGAAGCGGCGGATGCAATCCTCTGGAACAAGCTGGCCGAGAGCGTGCGATCTGCAAAGGGTGCATTCACACCCAGGCCAGGGCAGCTCTTGGCGCTCTTCGTGTATTCCGACTTCAGCTCATCCAGCTGCTTGGCACTACACAGCGGAGTGTCCACGTCGTAGGTGTTGTTAAACAGCGTGTAATCCACCTCGTACTCTCCGGTCTCCTTGCGGAAGGACACTACATTCACAAAGCGATGGCCCCACAGCACCTCCGATGGCAAGTAGCTGCTCCTGGCCTGCGTGGTCATGCCAGTGGACTCAATAACACCCTCTGAAATAGTACAGCCATTAGTTTCCATCATTAGAAAGTGGTTAAAATAAAACTCACCCAGCATAACCACCACTTCGAAGCGTTCCTTCAGCATATCCGAGGCGGAAAGCATGTACAGTGGACTGTTCCTATCGATCTTGTGAACAATGGTCGTAGGCCAGATGAACATCAGCCGATCCTCGCCACCATCGGCACCAATGTGCAACTCCTGCTGGTAGAAGGGCAACACCTCACCCTCCTTCGTCACCTTCTTGCGGATGATCTGGGCCCGGACATGAGCCTCGATGATGTGCGACTTGCGCATGTCTCCCACACGGAACATTAGACATGGTACTCCATCCCTATGGCAGATGACAGCATTTCGGGAGAAGAGCAATGTCTGGGCACGCTTCTTTGGACGCGACAACTTGGCAAACACAATGCCCACCATAAACGCTTGGATAAACACTCCAGTGATGCACTGGATGCACATGGTGAATATCGCCTCTGGACACTCCTCCGTCACATAGCGATTACCATAGCCAATGGTCGTCTGTGTCTCAACGGAATACAGGAAGGCGGACATCATGTTCGATACTTGGGTAACACAGACCGTATGCGTCATGTTGACCACCAGGTCAGGATTACTATTCTTGAGATTGGTGTACTCCAGATCATTGTGAGCATAGGCGATGATCCACCAGATGAACCCAAAGAAGGCCCACGAGAAAACGAAGCTGGCGGCGAAGACAAGCAGCGTCCAGCGCCACTGGGCGTCAACCAGGGTGGTGAAGATGTCCTGGAAATAGGGTAAGCAGATGGGGTGGAAGGTCAGCATAAGGTACTGATTGAATGATTTTCTATATATTTTCTTTTGATTTTTGTCTAAACATATCTCCAAATTCTTGGTAACACGTCGAATTATGGAATTCCGCGTGAGCCACACAAATCAATTTACATAATGCCGACAAAGTCTAGCGCGGCATGGCTGGTGGATTATGCAAGCCCACAAGACGAGGCTAAATATATATCCCACAAATCGAAGGCAAGTGGGCTGTCGACTAGATATAGCCACGCACTGCCACACCCCCCTCTTTACCCGTTGCTCACCTGCAGATAACGCCGACGTCTTTTGGCCACATTTCCCTGCACAACGTTGCACTCGCCGTGCTTGAAGACCACACGTTTTCGCACACGCCGCGAACTGAAGCGTGTCTGCCGGTACCTAAAACGGAACAAGAACATATAGATTGACAAGTTAGTAAGGAACATAAATAGATATATAGATGCCAGCGATTTGTTGGCTAAGAATTCGATTGAGGTTTTCGCTTTCAAATGCAGTGAAGCTCTTATCAATTGCGGATGGATTTCGCACAAGGTTTTGCAGGCAAAAGCCATATTTGAGTTGGCTATTTAGATAAGAGCTTCCTTGTTTTGAAATGTGATTTGTGTTTGGAGAACATTTCCTTATCATAAGCTAGCTAATAAGCTTAGAAATGCAATCTAAGAAGAGGCTAAATATAAAGTTATTCCTTAACTATGTCACAGACTTTAAGTACAGATTTACGCCCACAATATGATAACAAGGGAAATCCATAAAGTAAAATGAATAAGGAATAAATTATAAATATGACCAACCTTGGATGGTTTAACTATGAAACACACCCACAATAACAATAAGAAGAAGAAACAAACCGATCACAATAAGCACATATATATGTATGTATATACTATAACTATAACCGATTATAGCCGGCCTTTGTTCAGATTGATAAAGGATGGCAAACAACAGGAAGTCACAAGACAAAAACCCACTGACGTTTTGTCTCTCATTGATAATACCAATATATGGTATCATATTGGTTTATGGGAATATCTGATTAATTTACCAAATCATAGCCTGAAGCAATATGCTCGAGAGGCACACTACGAACACCAGGCCGATAAAGAACAGCATGAGGAGCACTTGGCGATTATCAGTTGTTGATATTTCGGGTGCCAGGGTTACGCACTCACTTTGATCACTTTGAATACCCTGGAAAGTTTTTTGGGTGGTTATCATTTATTTACAAAACAAACTATCAATATTGCAAGATCACTTTGATAACCATGAAATCTGGAGGATTATTGATACTATGAGTACCAGGAATTTTCTATCACTTTTCGTTTATTTGTTACTACGAATGGGGGTCCACTGGATCCACCATGGCAAGTTTATTAAGGGACCAGAGTCGAATTAGTACTGAGAGGAGCATTTGCAGTCTGCGAAAGTCGTTTCTCTGGAGCAGAAATAACTGTATTAATCGCTAACTGTACTGCACTCTCTACCGATCAGCTGACTCTCTGCAGTTTTCGTTTCACTTTGTTTTACACTGATATTTACATGTTCATTTATATTTCGTTTCCCTTTCATTTACACGCTTTATCAGTTCCCGTTGCTTTGTGGTGCCCAGAAATCCGCTAGAATATAAGAATATACGCAAAATTCCCCCTCCTCACTCATTGTCGAACTGAGCTTTAAAGCGATTATCAAATGTGTTAAGCTTGAAGCTTGAGTGGAACGCTTAGAGGTGAAGTCCGGCGAATTCGAGGGTGAGAAGTTGGTGATAAGGAGGAACTAATGGCATGGTGGAAACAGAAACTGATTGAGCTGGTTGAGACGAATGGTTTTGGAATGGTAATTTGTTGCGAATCAATCATTTCAAGAAAGTATTTTGATTTGATTTTTATATTTTTAATGAAATATTTCTATCATCAAGGGAATTTTTGAAGTTTGGGATAATGGAAATTAGTAAATTGTGACAAAAATGTATACTAACCCATATACAATCTTTGTTGTGTTGTCAACTGAAAGATATGAATATTTCTCCAACCTTTACGATAAGAAATCTAACTGAATCATTCAACTACTCACAGTTGCTAAACAATAACAAAGCTAAGATAATTAATCCCACAAAAACTTTTTAGTGTGTCATTAAAATAAAAATAAAATATTTTTATACGACAAACAAACAAATGAAACATAAAATTTTAAAGGACAATAACCAGCTGAATTTTAATTAATTTTAAAATAAAAAAATAACCAATCAGATTGCTTTAAAAAATCAAAATAAAATCAATCAATTTTTCAGCAATAAAAATCAAACCATCAATGATGAGTCACTGGCTGTACCTGTTCAACCTCATTAAATATGAAATCAAAAACGATAAAACATAAATGTGAGAGAAATTCTGAGAACAATGATATCGCCCAGATGAGACTCAATAAAAATTCGTAGAAATCTCCAGGCGACCGCAGTGCCATTAGAGTTCATTAGTTTAAATCTGATGTTTGGCTCATGCAAATAAACCGGCTTATAGAGTGCCTTATTGTTATTGTTTATAATCAGTTTTTTTGTGCTTTTATTTTTTGTATTTTTTTGGTTTGTCAAATGCAATAAGTGTTGGGTAAAAAACCGGTTGGTAACGAAAGGGGTGAAGTTAAACAAGTTCAATGGAACTGGCGACACATATGCGTCAACTCTCCCAGCTTGAATGATATCAGCTGATGTATTTTAGATTTCCTCAAATAGGGAAGTGAGTGAGAAAATGACGTTTATTGCTACATTCATAAGGTTATCTAACGACAATCAGAGGCCAGATAAGCAATCCTTGGGTTATGGCCAGCAATTAAAGCTCAGCCTGTGAGATAATCGAGGCAATTGAAACAAAAACTCAAAACAAAACTAACCTTGGACAAGATGAACTCGAGGTATGAGGGCTGGAGGTGATGTGCCCCCTTTTATTATAATTTCAAATAGTTTTTCAATCAGCTGGCTAATGGCCAGCAACTTGTTTAACGGGCCAATGCATTTGGGCCATCTGGTAAGGCAAAAATCTATATATTGAAGGTGTAAATAAGTTGACCATGGTCATGATCATAATCAGAACGAATCGGTTGAGATCGTAAAGGGAACCACAACTGACGTCATTTGAAATGCATTCCGGGGAGTACTACTATAAGGCAGCTCTATATACTAACACATATATTATATATAATATATAGTACATAAAGCCAACAACGTGTTGCAATTGCTGTCCATAAATCAAACTCTGACAGCCAGACAATTTTACAGCACGTTTCGTAATCAAAAGGCGAGTTGAATTCAAGTTAATTCCGAAAGTCCCATCAACCTTAAGCACTGATTATTCAATGTTTTTATATAAACCTTTTAATACCTTGATTTACCATAAGTTATATATATTTATTACCCAAAAGAGTTACCTTTACAAAACGTACTGTACCTGCAGATTTCCTCATTGCATTTTCTTTGCCAAAATTAAAATTAAAATGCCAAAAGTGAAAAGACTAATTATGAAAATTCATTTACAAGCAAGTTGTCAACAGACTATTTTGAAATCGTGAAAATTGTATGTCAAAGAAAAAGTTCAGAGGGGACCCTTTCTTGGGGTTTCTTTAAAAAACTTTTGATCAGAAATCTTTATATAAAGTACATATAGAACGGATATGGTGTGCATATACATTAAGCAGAGGTAGCAAAGCCAATGGAAAGGCCTTTCAGACAAATATTTATGCCTTATTCGATTCGGAATGCGCAAATGCATATATAGTATAGATGTATATCTGTCTTTAGATATGTAGCTATGTAAATTTGTACATATGTTTCCATGTATTGTACTAAGATCATAGCCAGTTCAGCTGTTTAAATAACCTTCAAGGGTGACTAGTTAAACGTAAGCCATTATGAAACTTAGTTGAGTTATGGAAAGTGATCTTTGGACTGCTGAGAAGCTGAGAACCAAGCATAAGTTTTGAGGAGAACAGGTAAGGTGACTGTTTTGCATAAACAGAAACCTAATTAAAACCTTTTATCATTAAGAAAAACATGAAAGAACTCTTTAGCTTTCTAATAATGTAAAATTGCTAAATGATCTTTACATTAACGACCTTTTTTAAGATGAGAAGTTCCTCAAATTTCACGCTCACTTTGATAAAACCACACTTTAAGGCACTTAAGTGATCACCTACGTAAGAGCCCCTCATCTCCCAGCGGTGATTGATCTTTTCTACCTTAGATTTACCTGAGAAGCTCCTCTCGCCACGACTGTTCACTGGAATGGGTGGCTCTGTAGACGATCATGGAGAGGCGACTGAGACTGCGTCGCAGCTCAGACATTTTGGGGCCTTTTGATCGATTGTCCTGGGATCACAAGACTCGTTCGGACCGATCGAAGGCAATACTGTTGGTTGCGATTGATTTACAATGTACAGAAGTGTGTCTGTTTTGGCATAAAAAACACCAGAAAACAGAAAAAAACAAAAATTTCTCTTGTTCTAGTTTGTCATTGTTATAAAAATAAAGCACAGGCAATGTTTCAGTAATAGACGGCGACGAGCCGAACAGGCCAATAAATCACAAAAGCGAGATCTCAGCATTGCGAGGGAGTTACAAATAAACTTTCAAATTTAAACACTTTTATTTTTTGTATTTTTTTTGGTTAATTAACTTGTAAAGCGCGTAGAATTTCACGCGTTTTTTGTTCTATTTTTATAGAGTTTTTTTTTTTTTAACTTTTTATATCGCTTTTGTGAACTGCGCGATCGAACAACTTTTTGCCAACTGTCGGCGAGCAAATTGAAATTCGCCCTCGTCGCTGCAAGCAAAATTCAGTGTTGATATTAGTCCTCCCTCCCCCTACACCACCTCTCCTCATCAATCTATATGTTCTACATGTTGTTTTTGCTGTTGGACTACCGCCTGCCGCCTGCCTCATTTACTCATTTCACCTAATTACACATGCATGTATGTACGAGTATGTATGTATGACTGCTTGGTTAGCTATAAACAATTGGAATGCCAGTTCCTATTTATCAGATACCGCTGAACATATACAGTCACACACGCGGCTATCTGTTTGCCTCATTAACGGTGTTTGCTCGTCCGATTGACACATGCCACACCTGATGGATCCCAGTTTTTCCTACAATTGATCATATATTTGTCTTTTTCTTTTGTTTTATTGGAAATAAAATTGGAATGGAACTCTATTATATAGCTATAGAAATTGTTTTTCTTAGTCAATTTAAATTTAAAACGCAGATATATATATATGGCATATAGAATATGCTTCGACTTATCCCCCATGAACCGGTTCAGGCTGCCCCGCTCGTTCAAAAATAGCCAGAATTTCCCGCATGGGAAAAACCAATAGAGATCGCTGGCAAGTTGAATGAACCAAATTTGGGTTCAGCTCTCTTTCGTTGACAACTTCAATTGTTCTGCTATCTCGAGTGCCCACTGTAATCTATCTAATCTTAGCCAAAAAAAAAGAAAGAAAAATGAAAAAGAACCAAGGCAAAGATTGCTGACCGAAACGGAAAGAACCCGTCTGAGCCCATAAGACCCATGAGTAATTTCTTACAGGGAAAGACTACTAGTGCTATGATTTCCCAAAAACAACGTCTATATGTTATCAAACATTATCCAATGACGTCAAGACGGTGACGCATCTGGGCCACTAATCATAGACTTTGTAGTCAAGTGTTGATATCGGTGTAAAGATATAGAGTCTTATGTCCGGTCTTATATGGCGATGATAGCCATGACTAACTAATGGTTATTTTTGGTAACAAGTAGTCAGCCAAGAGATTTCACAAAAGCTTATATGAAGATCATAAAAGGAGTTGAGATAGGAGAAGCCTTGTGGGGCTTTATAAAGTTAACTAACTGAAGATCAAGAAACTTTCAGAAGGCCTTTTTATGTTAGACTAAAAAAGATAAACCAAGTCTGGAAAACTACAGCTTAAGTAAGAATCCAATTTATACCACCCTACCTGATCTTATATAAATCCCAAAATAAAACGTTTCTCATCAATTAGATTTAAATTATTCGTGATAACTTTGATAGATCAATAGAAGCCAATCTCGTGCCTCGCAATCGATCGCTAAACGTTTATAATCCTCATTATTCGCAGAATTTCCCCAAAGCTAAATCTTAACTGAAAACATAAATATTAGAGCCTGCCAAGTTGTAGATATTATTAATATTATTATTATTAGCGTTGTTGTCACGCTGGGATCGTGTGGCTTCTCTTCGGGGAGTAAACCAGAGCAAACAAATTGAGCAACCAATTAGCACGTCTATTTATCAACCGCATTTTGTTAAGATACGAGTATGTGCCGCCGCCGCCGCTGGCGATGGCGTCTAGTAAGTTTCCACCTTGAATTGCGATCTCAATTAGTGTACAAATAAATAAATTAAACACTTTTTTCTTCACTCAGCTCTTGGTAAATACCAAACAGATGTATCAGTGGTCAATATTGGCACAAAAATGTGAAACAGCGGATATTTGCAAATTAAGTTATCGGTGAAATGTCCATCATTAACTGGAAAAGTATTCACAAATACGGCCGGCGGATGTATCTCTCTGTCTGTCATGTTCGGCAAGCGTGTCTTAGGTGACTCATTTGGCACATCTCTGAGATATATATATATATATAATATATATATAGACAAATTCCGTCGCCCAAGTCAAGCTCAACGTCAAGGCACAACCTCAATTCCAGGTGCTAATTGGCGGAGAGGGGCCTTGCCTTATCATTCGCCATTCCGTTTATCTGCCGCGGCGGCACACTTGTAAATAATACCAAGAAGAGTACACAAGAAATAAACTGGGTAAATATTATTATTATGGCCATGTGACAACGGGCCATCTTTCTTCCAAAAGATTGCCTAAGAAGGCCCCAAAAAAAGGAGGACTAGAAACGATGAGCATGTGCCGCTTGTTAAGCTTATGATTACACGCTTTCTGCATCCCAAAAATGTCTCGGGTACAGTCTTCGCAAAAGGTGCGACACGATCATCGGGTTTATGGCACTGGAAAGTGGCTTTTATTGTTGAAAGTTCCAAAATTGGTGGAACACTTATGGCCAATTTATGGCATTGAGTGTAACTGTCGACTTTTATTTTTAATGGGTTAAAGAGTTTTCATTGCTTAAGTAAGTTCTCTTTAAGTACAGTTTATTCAAAAGGGTGCTTCATTTACTAAAGTTTTTGATTTTCAAAGTTATTTTTTAATTAAACATTTAATCAAATACAATTTGAATCCCCCCTAAGCCCTGACCTTCTTCGCGGTAACACCTTAAATCCCCAGATAAGCAATTTGCTGATATCTTTTTTTAATGTTTGTTTATCTTTGGCGGTTAAGACCTAATAGTTATAAATTTTGGGCCAACACAAATAGACCGCAAGCTTTATAAATTGAACAAACAAAGGAGCGTGCAGCGAACTTATAATTTTAAGGTTTTCTAAACTGTTAAAAATCCTTTGGAAAGCCCAAATACTGTTTTGTTAGTGTATGTGGCATATCGCCAAATTGGTAAATAAATGCACGTTAAGCGCTTCCCACCGGCCTCCATTTTATTCATAAAGGTAAGTGCCGGCATTTAAATTCCGTAAGCGAAAAGTACACAGAAAGAACAGGTGATAACGGGATATTAAAGATCATTTACAAGATCAACACAAAAATATCAAAAATTTGTTTTTAAAATATAAAAATTACATTTCAACTTGCAAGATCATAAAGATATGTATTTTTTATTGCTTTTTCTCTGTGTACATAACTGAGAGGGCCACAGGGTCACCCGGCTTCCTGTGCGAGAGAAGTACAGAGCATCAGAGAGCTCCCTTTGCGTGGGATTTCGATCACATGGGCCACTCTTATACTCTTATACGACAGCAGCAGCTGATGCAGCGTTTAAATATAAGAGTTCGGTTGCCATGCCGTGTTTATAATATGTACGCCTTTGTTTTGTTTGGTTTTTCTTCTTATTTTATTTTGTTTTTTTTTTTGGCCGGACTGTACTCTATATGCCACATACAATATTTATATAAAAGTACATATATGTGGTATATATAACCCATTCCCATGTGGATGCGTCGCCTTGCTCTCTGTCACAAGTTCATCCTGCTCCCCGAGTTCAATGCAAACAAACTAGTTTTGTTGTTTGTTTGTGTTTCTCTCTTGTGGCACGCAGCACGTGCTGCTTCTTCTCCTCTTTCAAACAATGCAATTGGAATTGGAAACCTGTCCATATTAACTTTAAATCGTTTAGTCAAGACACGGGGCACTTATTCATGGCATTTACACGGAGAAAAAGAAATGAAAAGTTTTTACTTTGAAAAGGAAACCATGAATGTGACCTTATATAGTTGTTTGTGGCTTAAAATATGTTTGTTTTTAAGCTTATTTCAAGTTATTAACAGTATATTTTTCATCTGGGAGTATAATTAGTTTTATCGAAGTTAAAACACGCATTCTGAAACAATTTTTTCTCTATAACTGATAAGAGTTTTAGGTATTTCAAGGCAATGTAATCACTACAAAATAGTTTTCTTAAAATTCCTAAGAAATGTTTGGTAATTCTGATTCATTATAGCTGATTTATACAGTTATATTCTAGAAACAAGAAATTTAGGGAAAAGGAAAAAACTGTTCAAGCCCCAAATAGGGGTTAAAATCTTATTAAAATCCTTTTTATCCTGGAATCTTAAAGATGTTCTCCCTTCTAACCAACTTAACTACTTAAAAAGTGTTTTTTGGTGAGTGTACTTGTGCCACTACCAACTTACTCGTACATGGCATCCACAAGATCGCGCTCCCAGGTCATCAGACGCTTCATTTTGGCCAAAAGGAATTTCGTGGTGTTTATTGGTATTTGGACTTGATGTTGGGTTTTTGGGAACCAAAAATTTAGCACTGGCAGTCGAGGCACGCGCTACTGCTGCTGCTGCTGCGTTGTATAACGTGTATAATGCTATGTAAATTTGAGCTGTTTCTGCTGCGATTGGGGGCTCTCTGTTTTGTTTTTATGCGCTGGCGCTGATGATGGGCAACAAATGTAACGGCAACAGCGACGCCGGCAGAGATGTTGGGTTGACAGCTCCTCCACACAAAGGCAAAAAGTTCGCAATAGCCTTGGCTACAGTTGTTGTGTTTGTTTTTTTTGCTATTATTATTTATTATTTTTAGTGTTTTTTGTAGTTGTTTTTATTAGAATTATAATGATTGAAAACAAAAGATTCGAGCACTTTTCAGAATAACTTTAATACTGTTGGCGAAGCGGATGACGTTATCGTTGTGGATAAACTCTCGCGAGTGTTTCGTTTTATTTTTGGTGGGGGTACTGTGAGGCAGGTTTCGGTTTTTTTTATATTTGCAAACTTTTTTTTTAATGGGGTATATTTCACTCTCTGATTGGAATATTTTATCACAAATGCGTTCTTTTTGTGGTGGGGAAGGCGAAAATGGTTTTTATTTTGAAATAAACAAAGGCCAGCATAATTTTTCAACAACCAAACGCTGCTAAGAGCATTTAACACAGTCAAGATTTTTATTTGCGGTGCTTTATATTAACAGAACTGTTTTAAACGGTCTCTTTTTTACCACTGAACAAAGTGTGGCACTAAATGCGTTTTATATAGAGCTCTCTTTTAATGGATCTTGCAACGCGCCAGAGAGAGGAGAGAGAGCGAGCTAGAGCCTGCACGCGGCCAAAAAAGAGCGAGCCAGAGAGCGCGGCGCAGGTGAGGTGTATAACTTTCTGCGAAGACGGCTAAACTCAAACTGAAACGTTCGGTTGACAGCTTTGTTGCTTTTTATTATTTTGAGTTTAAAGTGGAAGACGCGATAGCAGCCGAGCAGGCAGCAAAGGCAGCCAAGCAATGCGGCAGCAGAGGCAAAACCAAAGGCAGCAACAAAGCAAAAGCAAAAGCAAAGTAAACACAGTGTGACAACAGCGTGTTGCTAAAATCACACATACGCCCGGCTGGCAAACACTCTCAAGCATGAAATACAACAGCTGATAAATTCAGCTCATTTCTTTTGTTGTGAGAGATTAGAGGAAGTAGCAAGAGCAAGGGAGGAGGTGAGAGAGAGAAGAGAAGAGCAGAAAAAGAAGAAGATCTCTCCTTGTGCACACAGCAAAAACAGGAGACTTTTGATTTTGAAGAAGAGTTTATTAATTTTGAATTATATTTAAAATTTGCTCAATAAACCCCTTGTTACTGAATAAACATTTTCATAAAATTAATCCTTTGTTACTTTATAAACGTAATCTTCTTTCTCTCTCTCTGTTCCTCCTCTTAATTCGCCCTTAAATCAAGCAATTAACTTCCCGAATTCGCCGCAAGTCCATAAACAGTTACATCGCCTGACAGTCGACCGTTTTCATAAATCGCCGAAGACAAAAGGCACTTAAGGCAATATTCACAAGTCAGAAGCCGAAGGGGAGGGTTGGGCAGGGGTTGAGAGAC